GTTTCGCTACAATTTGCATCCTGCGCCGGAGTTCTGTGTAACAAAAATTGATTTAGGGACAACAAGTGCCTTCACGGATTACGTCTTAATGGGCTCCATAAACTCAACGAAGTCCTACAAATTAAGTGTTGCATTCTTAGTGCATTCAACAATTACATTATCGAAATAACAAAAGAGCAGCTTGAGTTTAACATTTCCAAGGATTGCAAGGATTAAGAAGGACTGCAGAATTTGCATTGAGAATAGGATTTATTTAACGAAGCCAATTGCCTTTTAACTTGAACTGTACGTATTCATTTTATGCACTTCAAAAAGATTCTGTATTTACATTGTGGGAAATACTTAGAAGTTTTATTTAATAAGAATAATTTCTTGAGAGTATAATTCCTACTTAAGGGTAAATATAAAGTTTAATATCATAATTTTAAAATATATGTTACTTATGCGAAAACATAAAATTTACTATTTCTTAAGAATTTGGCTTAAGATTAGCATATATTCTTATTAAGAATATTTTTTTGAGCCATTGTTTTCAAATAATATGCTTAAGACATTAAGCCACTATCTTCACATATAGATACATGTATATTCTTGGGAAAATATGCTAATTTATTTGATAATGTTGATCAAGATTTCTATAGTTTTTTAAATTAAAAAAAAATTGGGAAAACCTGAAAACCCATTCAGCAGCAGCAGCTTATTTCTTTACAGATTGGATAAGGGGGCAAACAAATTCCGTCAACAAATGCCAAATAATATTTTTGAGCGTATTTATATGCTCCCATATTTTAAATACTTATCTATTCAGGCGATCGTGTAAGTAACAAAATTGGCCGCTAATTTCAGTTTACATTCATAGAAAAAAGAAGTGCTTAGAAATCTAATTCGTATTGAAGCTAGTGAATAACACATAGGAGTTGAAAAGAAAACTAGACCATAAACAAGTCTGGCGAATTTCATTTAATTCATTCAACCAACTTGTCTTCTTTTATGTCTATAACGCTTGCTTTCAATAGAGCACGTTTACGATTTAAAAGCTTACAAAAACTCTTCTGAATTTACTGGCATATTTTGTAGTTGAAAACATGAATAGCAGCAAACGGATGTGAAAATTGTTCAAGAGGGTATCTTATATATGTATATCAAAAGAGTATTTGTGTATTAAGAGAGTACGGAAACCGCAGAATGTCAGTCAGTCTGTCTGTCTGTCTGTCTGTCCTTCCACTTACCACTTGACAAGTTGTCTTGGATTTGCATAACAAGCGAAACAAGTCTCGAATTCTGTTATAATGCACACACGTTACATGTAATTATGTGCAAACAAACGCAGCAAATACAATTTCAATTAACAACGAAAAAAAATACAAGACATGTCAAAGGCAACTTGGGGTAAAAAAAGAGTAAAAAGTGAAATCGAATACGTTAACATCACACGCTTTGTTAAGCAGTGGGATGGGGAGGCCTGTATGGATAAGATGGTACTCCAAGCGCTTGTGCGGCTTCCCTTCCCATCCCGTCCCTTCGTTCCCTTACGCAAGCGACCACAAGTGCGTATAGGTTGTCAGAGGCTGGGCTCGGTGTCTGTGTCTGTGTCTGAGTGCCGAGTACCAGGCAGTAAGCACCAAGTGGCAAGTGCAGCAGCGTCAGGTGCACTGACATTGACGCACATGCATGCGGCAGCAGAGGGGAGCGGATTGAAGGGTTGGGTGGCACAACAGTCACAATCACAAGCCAGCTGTTTCGATTGCTCCACGCAGCGAACCTTGAGCTCAAAACAAACTCGTCTGCTTTTCGCTGTGCGCCTGTTCCCTAACAGCAATGTCTGCAAGGGCGTTCCAGAGTCGGTTGCATTTGGTTCCCTCTTGTCGCCCATTCATTTCTCAATTTTTGTACTTTTTTATTCGTACACGGAAAAAAATATGGCATGGAATTTAGAAAGCGTCTCACAGTTGCCTTGAAAACCTGAAATTTCTCCAGATAGAACTGATATTCATTTCAGCTGTGTTCACGCCAATTGTTTATTTATTGTAATATTAATTGCAGTTTATAATATAATACTAGAAATTGTCAACTTTTTAACATTATTATTATTATTATTCTATATAATCTTCCAAAAATCTTCCAGGCAGCTTATAAAATATCTCTCATGTATAAATTATATTTATATATATTGTGCTCTATACTCTAATATTTGATATTGTAATTTTTTTTTGTTGATAATTAATTTTTGTATATAATTGAAGAATCTACCATGCAGTTCAGTTCAATGACAACAAATTGTAAGCTGTGCTGTTTAGTTGGCAAAGTACTTACAATTGAAGGGCATCATTTTTTTCTGAGTGCAGGTTGCATGCTGTGTGTTTTGTCAACATGGCAGCCAGGAAAATCCCGTTTCAATTCCAACTCCAACTTACAGTGCCAGCACCAGCATTCAGCTCCAGCTCCTGCATTGTGCGCCTTTTTGTGTGCATTGTTGTTGCCACTGACGGTTGGCGGCAGGCATCAGGCAGCCGCACAGTTGCAGTTAATTGAAAATACTAAATTTCCACTGTCTAGACGGCAAATTATATGACAATTGTTAGAGCGCATGTTTGACTTTCATATTAAAATTAATTACTTGGGCTGGTTTGCATAAAAATGGGCACTGGATAAACATTAGAGATATGTATACAATTCTATTAAAGCTCATGCAAGGCCTTTATTTTTATGCAAAATAATGTAGCGAACGAAAATAAGATTATATGTGCTTGTAATTAAAATTAAAATTTTCTATTGTATTTATTATCAGTTGGATATAACTATGAATTTGATTACAGGAATTTTAGACTCGAATTTTCGTGAAATTTTCACACATTTAATAATGACAGTGGGGATATAATCACAGGTTGCATATAATTTATGCAGTAATTGAAAATGTATTGAGATGAGGAAAATCTCATAAACATGAAGTTTGGTAGGAAACTGAATAAACTGCTCACAGTAAGCAATTACAAACGGAAATCGTGCGAAAGGAAAACACCTTTTACAATTGCCTCAAATATACACACACACACTCAAATTTGGCACTTAATAAACAATGAAATTGAAAATTTAAGACGCTTATCTTACGAGTGGAAGGCAAAGTCGTATGGAAATTTTGACATTACAGTCATGCAAGTAATTACACTCTTCGCCTGAGTGCTTGATAAATGTTATGCACTTCTCAAATACAGCTGAATGTGTGTATGTGTGTGTGTGTGTTTGGTATCTGTGTGTGCAGCAGGAGATTCATTAACTGTCGCTTGCTGTTGCGGCCCTTTTGGCCAGCATCTTGGAAATGAAGCTTGTCTTGGCAACGGCCTCATATGCAAAACATCCACTTCAGCATTGACTTTACTGATTTTGCCTTTCGCATTTTATTACGTGTTTATTATGCTAACAATGCGAGAAAAGTTCAAGACAAAATATGTAAATATATATGTATGTTTGCAGCTCCAACAGTGGAAAATGTAAACAGTGGCGCAGTCCTCCAACGGATGCAAGTTAAACATCATGAAGTTCATATGAAGTACTTGCATACATTTGTTAATTAATATTTAAGTTAAACTGGCTCAAATTTTGTCAAATGGCTAACTGCGGAATTGGTTATAATTGCATCTGTAAGTCTTAAATAGTATTTATAATTGCTTGAAATTTAAGATAGAAGTAATCAAAATAAATAAAAGTAGATGCCGAACATGTATCAATCTAATTTCGACTTTTAAATTACTAAAGTTCTTTTCATTCTCACACAAAAAAAAAGTTATATGATACTCTGTGGCATAGAAATCTGGCACTTGAAATGCCGTTGATTTTGGTATTTGGCAGCAGCTCATGTTTTGATCAATATGTCGGTCCTCAATGTGCTCTCCCAAGTGGCACAAACAACAAATGAGAAATATCTTATAAATATGTATATGCATGTATGTATGTGTGTGTGTGTGTGTGTGTGTGTGTGTGTGTGAATAAATCAACGCCCAGACGATGTCACTGGACCACTCCTTTTAATGACAGCTGCAGCAGCGCACCCCCCAAAAATACTGTAGCCACACAACATATTTTCATTAGAACGTTAAGTTTAAATTCGTTATATGGTTATAGGGCTGGAATCGGTGATGATTTTGTCTATAGTATCTCTACTGTCTGCGCACGACTGCCCACCTGAGCTAAGCCAGATGAATGTGCTGATGGGGGAGGGATTGGGAAATGGCAGCACATATTTCTAGTGGCAGGCAGGCAGTCAGCCATTTGCATTTCATTTTTCAACAAGCAAAATATTTTTGGAAGCGCAGGACGAACTGTCTGCCAGGCCATTATAAATAGTTGGACGACTTCCTTTAGTCTTTTGTTCAAGTGGGTGAAAGACAGAGAGAGAGAGAGAGAGAGAGAGAGAGAGACAATGAGAGAGAGAGAGAGAGAGAGAGAGTCTGTGATTGTATCTGCGCCCCAGCCCCTCTCTATATATCTTTTTGTGTGCGTGTATCTTTAGTCCATCTGTCATTTTAAGTGGCTTATTCATATGCAAGTGGCTTCCGGGGCCAAACATATTCAAGTGTTTTAGTGGCTCGTGTACATGACCGAGCATTATCATTAAGTGCTTATAGGCTGGCTGGACGACCAGTCTGTCTGTCTGATCTGTCTGTCCTGCAGTCTGTGAACAATGATGGCTATTAACACAAATTGAAATACATATAACCCTTGGTCTTGTCTTGTGCCAGGCCATTGCCATTGCATACTTTTGTGGGCGCCGGAAGTGACAGGCATATTATTAAGCATACGCACCGTTACACCCTCACACATACACACACTCACACACACACACACACACACACATAGTTGAAACATAAGTTCGCTTTCACTTTTCATTCATTATGTTATGCTTGAATCCGTTGCAGGCTTCACGTTGCTATGAAGGCAACGGCCAGCAGCAGCAGCAGCAGCGCCGCCAGCAGCAGCAACCATTTGGAGCCACTGGCGGCCGGCAGCAGCAGCACAAGCGCCAGCAGCACCAAGCCGAGACTGGCCAAGGTATCCTTCGCCCCGCTGGATATTGCAACGCCCTCGGCCGCCACGTGATACGCGAATATGCCGCAGCACAACATCGTTTGCGAGTGGCTGCGCACAATTGGCATGCCGCAATATGGCGAAAGCTTCCTGGAAAACGGCTACGATGAGTTGGAGATTTGCAAGCAAATTGGCGAAATCGATCTGGATGCCATTGGCGTCGATAATCTCTCGCATCGCGGCAAGCTGCTGAAGAGCGTACGAACGCTGCGGGAGAAGGGCGCTGCCATTGTCTATGTGCTCATCAATGATCCGAAGGCGCTCAGCAACAGCAATGAGATACTCGCCTCGGACTGTGATACGCCTGTGACAATGAAGGAGCTGGAGGCGGTCATGAAACGCCATCTGGAGGCAGATGGCATTCGACTCACTGCCCATCCCTATTCGACGCCGGTGAGTATTGTCCCCGTTATTAAGTTGGCAGCGGCTTATCTTGGCCATTTTATTTAACGCTTGCAATTTGCATGTGCTCTCCATGGGGGATAAATTGTTGTAGTCCACCTTGTTGTTGCTGTTGTTGCTGCTGTCGTTTTTGTTACTGTTGTAGTTTTTGTGACAGTCGCCGCTAGTTTGTAATGGTCACCGTTTGGGGACCCGGCGCCCGATGCGCTGTGTGCGCTCTAATGTGAAATTAACACGATTTTAATTTAGTTAAGCCAAGTGGCCAACCGCGTGTCTGGTCGGACCTGTTTGGGTCTGGCCCAAGACTGGTTGGCCAGCCGGGTTCCCGCCCATTGACCGCCCACTGAGTTGTACACTTTGGCGCTCAAAAAGTTTATTTTATAATATGTCGGTTTGGTTTAGCCGTGGGAAATGTTTTTGCCTTGCGTTAATTTTGTTTATTTTCGCGAGTGTTTTCTGTTTTTCCTAAATGGTGGCGGCCTTAAACAAATTGGGCCATAAGCGGCACTGGGGAGCAACAGTCGCTAGAGCGAACAACACCGCACTGCCACACTGCGTGCTAACATTTAATGATCTGCCAATACACAAATTTTGCAAAGCTTGCTACATAGCCAAATTGCTGGCACTAGACACGCACGATAAAGCGTTGGTGGCAACAATGTCGCCATAATACCACATTGTTGCAACATGCATGCAAAAAATATCACAATTACACAGTGGACTAAAATTGCATGTAAGCGACATATAAGGTATTTTATAAATATATATATAAGAAGAGTAATAGGAAGAAAAGTTTAAATAATTCACTCAGGTAATAAATCGCACTGAATTTTTGAAATTCTCCATTCTTCTGGCGCCAAGGGAAACTCACTTTATAAATCAAAAAGCATTTTTATAAAAAAGAATGTTGGTTTCTTCTAAAAACAAGGGATTTTCTTCTCTTAATTCCAGAGTAAGTCTGTCTAAAATGTATTCTCGAAACTTATATTATTATTAAACATCATTTTTAAAGATTTCACAAATATAAACATTTTTGATAAATTTAATAAATTGATTTAATTAAATATGAAAAAATAAATTTTAAAGAGGAGATTTTCATAAAAATAAGGGTTTGTATTTGTACTTTGAAGAAATATTTTCTATTATTATATGGTATATTTATAAATTATTTCTAATGACAAGAACAACAGTATAGCTTTCAGGGAGATTTACACTTAAATGGCGATTTTCTAAAACTTTAAGTGTATATGAGTTTAAATAGTAATATTCGGCTGGTACTATAAAAGCAATCCAGAATATTTTGGATGTTAGAAGAGTTTTAAGGATATGTGTGGTTGTTGTGAGCAAATGTAGTGAGTTGCCCACGGTTCTAAATGCATTAAAAATGTGTATTGAAATGTAACGTGTAACATTCTCATCTCATCTATGATGATGAGTTTTGCAAGTGTGTCAAGCGTTGCTTTTTGCCAAGCTGAGCTGCAAATTGCAACCTCAGTTGGCAACCCTAGCATTAAATGTATAGTATTATTGCAGTTTTAAACAACTTTTGTGCAATGGGAACACACACACACACACACACAGAAAACATGTCACTGGTTCAGGGCCGTTTTGCATTTGTTGGAAATGTGGTGCAAATAAATGCTAAATGAGCGTCGCTTTTATTTAAAAATGCCATTTTTAAGGCAGTGGCTGCCACTGTGTCTAAATGGGCGTAACTGTCGGCCTATTGAGCATGCCGAGTGTCGGCAACAGTCTGTGGGTTTATTATGCAAGCACGCATCCCCCTTCGACCCGCTCATCCACTTTCAGAACTTGTCAAAGTGTCAAAGTGTGCAGTTTGATGACGAAGCACGAAACGGAGTGCCTCTCGTGATGTGTTCTGTGTGGCAAGTTTGACATAGACAACATCTACTGTCTTCAGTCGCCGCCTTGCATTTTAATTAGCAATTGTGTGTGTGTATTTTTATTTTTTTTTTTGCGTGAAATTGCTGTTAACATTGTTTGCCCGCTCGAACATAGACAAATATTTACAGTTGTTTCGGCAGCAGTCTCTGGGCAGTGTTTTGTACGTCGGGGCAACGCAACGTATGCGCAATATCACGTTCCGGATACAAATTGAAATGCAACTTAAATGTGGCAATAAAATTATATGAAATGGAAATGCAGTCAGCTGAAAATACACGTGTACATGTGTTTCTGTCTGTGTGTCTGTGTGCGTGTGTGTATGTGTGTGTGTGTTAGCCTGACAGGTGTCTGTGCTCGTGCGAGACTACAAAAGGTGCTAGACTTGTTAGCTTCTGGGTGCTTCCTCTGTCTGGGGCATGTTGATGCGCGCAACTTCAACTAATTGCACTTTGCGCTGATGAGGCAGACATGAATGTGTGTGTGTGTGTGTGTGTATAGCTTTAGGGGTGTGTGTGTGTTTGTGTATGTGTGTCTGTATCATTGACTGACTGACAGTTGCAGACAAGTTGCATTTCAGCACAAATGTTTGCATGCATGCAACTCTAAATGAATTCACCTTGCAGCCACAGCAGCAGCATCATCAGACAACAGTTACACACATACACCCACACACACACACATACACAAACTCACATATGCACACATAGTTAGAATGGCTTAAGAGGATGGACTGCTGCTTCAGTGGACGCTTTGAATGTCAAGCAGAAGCAGAACAGATTTAAGTGGCAGCCTTACACTAATTACCGGAAGATATTAGCACTTGTGTTTGTGGCCCACAAAAAGCAGAGCATTTCACCACTCGACACTTTGTGAGATGAGATAATCGCAATGGATATATATATGTCTATACACATTTGCTTCTTAATTTAAAGCTTGAAAATTTTAATTGAAAGTTGTAATTTGCAAATTGTAATAACAAAAGTCAAATGCAAAATAAAATAATTATATATTTCACAACTATTCTGCATAGCTTTTTTTTTAATCTACTAGCATTAAATTATTTATATGTATTAATAAAATGTAGTTTTATCTTAAATAATGATAAAATTCCAATCCAACAAATATTTTTAATATTCATGCAGTTTATGTATGAGAATCCGAAGCAAATGAAAAGAATTCAACTTGAAATGTATAAAATAATAGCTCTTTCTAAATCTGATTAAAGATATTTAAATAATTTGTAATATTGAATTTTATAAACGAATTACTAAAACATTAAATATGAAAAGTTATTTTTTATCCTATTTAATTGAACTTAGCCTTTTTTTTTTAATTTTCTCACTGTGTTCGCTTCTGCTCTTCTTTCGCAGGAGGGTAAGCGGGGTTATTTGGAAGGCCTGGCTGCGCACTATAGCAAACAGATAAATATGCCGTACGAGGATGTGCTGGATGCCATCGAGCAGGTGCGCCTATCCAAGTGGAAGGAGCGACATGTTCGCATCTCGACAGGACATACGCTGACGCGACGCAGCGCTGGCCCAAGTAGCAGCAGTGGCGGAGGAGGTGGACTGGTTGGCTCCTCGGTAATGCCCACTAGCCACAGTCAGCCGCTTTATGTGCCGGGCAAGTATTTGGTAAGCAAAGTGCACTTTGACTTTTTACGGCGAACGCTTTTTACGAGCTGAAGCTAATCAGGCCGTGCCGCAACGTCGGATCAGTTCTAATTCATTTCGTTTATTATGCATGTGCAGCCGTCGAGCTGCCTCTCGAATCGCGAGGAGAACGAGATATACAGTTACACCCAAAACGATTTGGCCAATCGGATGGCCCGCAATGCCATCGACTCCAAGTCGGCGCTCAATTTAAATGGCATGCAGCACAGTTATCCAGGCGCTCGAACCAACTTCTTTTACGACTTTTCGGCAACAGGTAGGTGGGGGGCATCAAGGGGCGTGGCCGCTGCAATATTTAGTCTGTCTGTGGTTTACCACTTTGTCGGCTGTTTGACTTTTTATGGCTTTTAATTCGATGAAATTGGTTTGCGCTTTAACTTAGCGTTCGTCTCTCCGCTTAGCGGACTGACTGACTGACTATTTGATTGTGGCTTTTAATATTGGTTTGATTTGTTTGTTTTTCTTTGCGCTTTTCTCCTGCCTCTCCACCTTTCTAGAGGGACGCAACAAAAACAAGCAGCGACGCACGGTCTTTGCGCGTTTCCTGCAAGGCTTGCGGCAGAGCGGAGACGAGCTGAATGCAACCGAGGGCATGCAACTGAAGGTGAGTTTCCATTGGACTGTGCAACTAAGAGTTATGTAATGTCAATAAAGTAATTAATTTCCTGCGTTGCCTTTACTTTTCTCTAATTTTGCTCTTACCTATTTTACGACATAATTATTTTCCATTACCATTTTTTATTCATCTTTGTACTAGACGAACTTATTTTCGTCTAGTATATGAACATATTTTGTTTTTTCTTTCATTAAGTAAGTTTGCATATGAAATTTTTATGACATGCACTTCAAAGCATTTGCTGCCCACAACCAAAAAAAAAAAAAGAACAAAAGTTTTTCAACGATTTGTTTAATGTCTAATTTTGGCAATGACAAACTTTTGACCTCAGGAGCTCCTCTTTGCTCCCGACTCGGACCCCCGAGTGCTACTTATAAAATTAAATTAAAATATAAAAACCGCGTAAACCTACAAATAAAAACAACAAGAATAGCAGCTGAAAAGTTGAAAGGGACAGAGGAGCAGTGAGCAAACAAAAAGAAAAAAGTTATCAGGACTAAGCCGATAAAAGGCAATTACCGTTAATTGCGTTGCCTTGTGCGAAGGGCGTTGCACGAGATGACAAAACAGAATTGTAAGAGGGCAGCAAGAGTAAGCATTGATAAGGCATGGGCCAGGGGAGTGTAGCAAGCGTGGCAGGTGGGGGCATGTGCAGCATGCAAATGGCAGAACAACGACTGGCAGCGTCTGAGCAGAGATATGAACTCGTCGAAGCGAGTTGCATGCTGCAAGTGTCAACCGGGTACGATGCAATCTCCGGGGGGAGTCGGTTGGGCTTCGGTGGCTTCTCCGGGTGCGAGTTGTACGGGTTGCCGCACATTTGTGGAACTTGTACGGGTCGGTTCCCACTCATTTGCACCTTTGCGCATTTGCTTTTTGCGGTTTGGCATCCGGTGATTCTCACCCAACACACGATTGTCCTTTTTTTCTTTTCGAGGGGGGGGCTCCAAAACGACATCCAACGACAGCGTCGCATTTGTTTTTATTATTTCAAGCGTGCCAAAAACTGTGTTTTTTTGTTTTTGTTTTTTTTTGTATTCACTAGTCTCTTTTTGTGCTCCGGAGCGAGTTTATAACTTTTCTTGTTTTACGGTTGTTGTCCGGCGTTTCTTTGCCGTATTTGTGTAGCTTGCCTTTTTGGCATCATTGTTGTTGTTTTCGTTGTTGTCTTTTTGTGACTTTTTTGTTGCTGTTCATTTAATATTTAAGCGCAATTTGCTGTCGCCCAGCGCAACAGACTCTCAGAGTCAGTTCTTTGTGTGCTGTGGTCAATTTTGAAAATGACTTGGGCTAAGCACTGGCGACAATTGTGACCCATAGCACCACCGTACCACTCCAAACCACACCACTACTAACTTGTTTTGTGTGCTTGTCCTTTGGCACTCATTACCTTTTTTGTGTGTGTGTGTGTGTGCCCTCAACCGGTGTCCGGGCAACAGCTGCTGGCCAAGGGCAGCCTCTGCGAAGAGGTCAACGCAGACGCGTATGTATAATTCTAAACATTGGAATATGGCTACGGCTATGGCTACGGCTACGGCAATGGTCTCTCATTATGCGGTCTGCTGCGGAAATGTTGCTTTAGGGAAATTTCACTGTTGGTCTTTCATTATATTTCGTTGGCCTGCGCTTTTCATTTGACATTTCACTTTGCACTTTATGTGAGTATGTTTTGTATTTGTTTTTTGTTTCTTGTTTTTTTTTTTGTTTGTTGTTTTTTCTTTTATTGTGGTTTTGTTGTAAGGTGTCGATTTGTTGTGTGCCGTCCGTCTGGTTGGTTTTGGTAAAGTTCTTACTCCGTTTACGTTAATGAAGTAATCATGGGGCAAAATACTTGTTTATTCCATGAATTTATATTTATATTCAACAGACCAATGAGCGTTTGAAAAGCTGCGGCACCATGAAACGACCGGATCCGCCACAGGACTTTGAGAAGACCATACAGCGAGTAAATATAATAACCCATACACTCAGCGAAAAATCAGTAATCTATGCAGTCAATTCTTGTACACACGTTACCTTAATCCAACAAACGAATACAATACAAGAACAAAATTCAAAATTTGAATTTGAACACCTTTTTTTTTGAGAATTGATGTTCATAAATAAATCTAAAATCACAGTGCTTACAATATATATTGTCTACCAGATTCAAGTCCAACGATTCTAGTTTATGCAACATTAATGGTTGACAACAAAAGTAAACAAATTCTATTCCGGTTGTTCTTGCATATAAAACAATGATTTTCTTTGAGTGTACGTAAACACGCACATCTATTACTGATTGGCCGCTTATCCTTTGCTATTTGCATCTAATTAATAATTTTTTTTTATCAATTTTAGCTGAAGACTCAGAAGGCGGCCCAGAAGAAACCAGCGAGTGCACCCATGGACATTGCTCTACATGAACGGAATAAGGAGGTGGCTCACAGCCTGGCCACGGAAATGCCATTGAACAATTATACGAAGCATCCCTAGGACACGGCCATCAGCATCGATGCTGCATAAGATTTACATATTTAAGAGTCATACCTTCATATAGTATGCATAAGGAATCGTAATCTAATTAGTTGGGATCAGGTGATACACACACGTTAAGCGAAGCAATACGAATTTAAGTGCGATTTTTGAGTGCAGTGTAAAGGTGATATTGATCAGTATAAGTGCTAGCCGATAGACAGTTTAAATGAAATGCAATAATCATAATTGCAACTCAATTGAATGCATTTATGCAAATCTACAAAATCCACGCGCGAGTTGGTCTAAAGTTATCTTATCATTTCTAAGCTTAAAGATTCAATTACATTTATCTAGGCATACAGTCTTGAGTCAACTAAGTAAAAGCATCGACACAAATTAATCAAAGCTTCCTCTAGCATACCAATGCAAATGATATTCTCCATATTCGATATTCCGTGAGTGCTGAATTTCAGCAAAATCAGCTTTAGACACCCAAATAACTCTCGGCAAACACAGCGCGCAACTTGGCAAGGAATGTTGACAAAACGCAAAATTCCAACAAGCTTAACGCTGAATCAACACGACCGCATACACATGCACACACACACGTACACACACGCGTACACACACACACACACACACTGACGCACAGCAAACTTGCGCCAACCGCAGACGCTGCATAGACAATCCGCAGCAACTGCAGCTGGTTGAGGTTGTGCCTTGGTCTGGGTCTGGGTCCCGGCTCTGGCATTTCCGTTTCAGCATTAGAGTGCATCGATTTTGGTCTTTGGTTTATTGGGGCTGTCGATGGGAGTGAGAGGGGAGGGGGAGCGGTCATGCTGCACTTGCTGCCGTTGGCTTTTTTGCATTTTAATTGCATGTCGCGCTGGAAAGTATGCAACGAAGTTGACACTGGCCAAAATGTACTCTGTTCGTCGCCAAAACCCGCCAGCAAATGCGATTTGCATATTGCAGACCAAAGCGGCCAAAAGCATTTGAAATTCGCTTATAATTTTGTTTGCACTTTTGCCCGGAAGGTATCTAAAACAACCAAAAAGAAAACAAGAACATAAAAAGTGCTCGATAACTGCCATCCTCAAAATGGCTGTTCCTGTTTTCTGGTGACTGCATCTATTATTAAATGTTTGCTGGCGCCTTATGGCTCTGCCAAAATTGAAACATTCAGCGAGTACGTGAGCTCTGCAAAACTATTTCCATTTAATGCGGGTTGCGTGCCGGCGTTTCCGTTTCCGCTTTTTGGCAGCTAGCGCAGTGATTAGCCAAAGTACTTTGTTGGCAGCCCAAAACTGTTGTCTCGTTATCGTTTGCCAGAGTGAAACGATTTTGTACCCAATTTTGGGGGCGGGAGGGGTTTTGGCTGTTCTGCATTTCAGTTTCACCCCAATATCTCGAATGCCATAATTTGATTGTAAATTATAGTTGCAATTGTTGCAAATTATTTGTGGATAGCAATGTGTATAAAGTGCTTAATTATTCGAGACTTAAGCTTGATTGCGATTTTCATGTTATATGCAGTGCTTTTATTTGCTTTTAATTTTTGTTATCGTGCAATTAAGCTTGGTTCGCCATGTGGGCCTCGTTTGCCTCGTTTTATCATTTAAATTTAATTAAATGCAATGAAAACTCATTCGAAAAATCAACCAGCCATAGTGAAATAGTATAGAGACAAACAAAATGCAAACAGTGAAAAAAAGGTGAAATTAAATATAGGCAATATAGGCAGTCATGTGTAAAATTGTGAGCCATTTTAAATCATACAATACAATACAAACATAATTGCTTAACATATACATATATGTACATACATATATGTATGTATAGTAAATACGATATATATGCCAAATTAGACAGACAACAAAGAAAGAAAGCAGCATGATTACAATAATACAAACAACAATAAAACAAACGATTTTTTCTATTTACATAGAAAGAATAACTTTTCAACTCGTTTATAATTTCTAGTAGACAAATATTAAGCATACGCAGCAGTAACGAAAAAAAAGAAGTTTTTAAATGCATATATTTTAAAATACACATAATGTATACAATAAATATATCAAATATACATATATGTTAATCCATGTTTACAGTTATCATATGCTAAGTGCCAGAAACAATTAATTATGAGATCGAATAAAAATTTATAGGGTAGCACACCATTTAAATGAACTGTTAATAAGTAGACCATAAATATGAATATTCATCATTATACGAGTAGCTATTTAAGTTTACAAACAAGTGTGCGAATCTTTTCGTAGTAATATTTAAGTCAATTGCAAAAGCAATCACATTCTGCTTATGCTAAATGACAGAATTCCAAATTAGCTCAAGCCATTCAAATGTCACTAAAGGAGTCCAAAATAACCAATTTTCAAATGGCTAACAAGGAGATCAATATAAAGTGAAATGAAAAAGGCAAAAATATGAAATGAATGTATATTTACTGGTAGCGCATAAATATTGATGAGATTCACAATATATTTATAGTATATGTATATTTACAATTATTAGTACTAGTGCAAAAACTGAAATCTATATATGTATGTATGCATGCATGGATAGTATGCATTTCAATTTACATTTTTAAGTGTTTAAGCAAAATGCCAAAATGCATTTGAAATGCGTGGCACTAGCCCAAAAGTTGATTGCGAAATGCATAACAAATACTCGTATTTATGAATGTAAGCGAATAAATATGAATACATAGCTTAAGCGCGTATTGAATATATGTATGACTTGCATACACATATGTACACAATATATACATACATACAAACATACATACATATGCAATTTACAATATGTATTTTGAATAGATATTTAGGAAACGTGTATTTTATATGATTGTACGTCAGTTGGTTTACGTCATAGGCTATAGAGAAATTTGCATGTAGCACATGGGGCACTTTTGCAGCAAATTGAATCAAAATTATATTTAAATACATATGAAAATGAATAAAGTGTTTTAATCTGTACGAGCAAGTAATTTAATCCTTCTGCAATAGGATGTGTAGCATGCCTTTGCCCATTAGGCTCTTTTCCATCTTTATTGATTAAAGTTTATGGAATTTTTAATTTACCTTGGTTTCATACACATCTTGTTACATACATACATATTTTATGGTATTTATACATATTTTTATGTTGAATTATATGTTTGTTTACTGCCCAAGTGAAGTTCAGTGATTCACACTTAGGTCATAGCTCAAATCGCTTAAAAGTATTCTGGTTTGAGAGCAAATTGCTTACTTCAGATATTTAAATTGTGTATTGAATTATGCATTTGAGATATTGCGATATTTGTGTATATTTGAAAATGTTTAGAAATGCACAAAAATAACCAGACCGTCTACAAATATCACCATCTAACAGTCAGGAGCTCCATTAATACTAATGAAAGCAATTTGTAAAGAGAGAGAATAAATGGAATGCAGCTCTGCAATTGTATTGCAAATATGCACAGCAAATATGCAGAGTTCGAACATGTCATTGTAAGTTCAAGTGTATCCCGAACGTCAGCAGCAGCAACAGCAGCAGCGCCACCTGAAAGTGGAGCAGGAGCAGGAGCAGCTGACTCAGGCACAAGAATGGCACTGCAGAGACTGATGCTGATGCTGATGCTGGGAACTGATGATTGTGATGGGCACAAAAGCCAACACCTCATGAAAAATGCATGGGCTCTCTCATATGTTTTATGGCTTGTTGAATTTCGTTGCTGTTGTAGTTCAAGTTGTTGTCAAAGGTGGCTCTGTTGCAGCCTGTTAAATTAATAACGTTCCCAAAAAAACCAAGTCCTCGAGCGCATCACTGTGACAGCACATTTTTGTATGCGGCCAAAAGTTAAGGTTTGTTTTACAACGACAGCTGTGCAGGAGACAACGGCCTGGACTGTGTGCGCTGAGGCCCTTCAGCAATATATGCTCTGCAATGATATATTAAATTTTCTTTAAGCATTTGTTCAGACTAAAACTGGGAATTTTAGAACATTTTTTTAGAATGATAGCTGTTGCCGGAAAGCCTGTACATACATGTACATATTTGGGTGGAAGCAGGGTATCTGCTGGTCGGGAAAATCTGAAGTAGCCCTTAGACTATTACGTTAGATCAGAGAGGTTATTCTACAATTCAGGTAGTCTTTATATATCTTTATATAGTGAAGTTTAAGCATGTAATCTAAATACTTTTCAAACAGTTCATCAAGTAAGTTTTAGCTTCCTCCGATGTCCTTATATAATGCAAGATTTGTAGGCCTTCTGATAGGAAAAGACTTAAGTTCAGGATATCTTCTTGTCGAGCCTTCTCAACGTATTTTGTTTCGTATTTTTCTTGTTGTATTTTATGCGCCTAACCAGCGAGTATTTGTTTAACGAACTGTGAATTTTGTTGTTGTTTTCATGTGTGTGTGAGTCGCCTCAGTTGATATGTGTCTGTGTGTGTGTGGAAAAAGGGTTTTTTTTTACATTTTTTTTGAGATATATTTTAATTTCCGTTTGGATTTTGCACGTTTTTCATAATTCATGCTCTCCAAGTAGCGAGATTGATGAGGGCTTTCGCAGTTTGGGCTTTGGCCGCAACTGGCTTACACACACAGGCAAACACTCACACACACACACACACACATTCATACTCTGCATAATCGTGCGGAAATTCCAGGCACACTAAGCTGACCTGGGCCAGTCGCCTGAGTATTACTTATATACACATATACATATATATATATATATATTTATATATATATATATATATACGTGCATGTGTCTACAAGCAAATCACAATGAGTGCAACAGCAGCAAAGTTAAGCCGCCCAACCCAACCACCCCCGAGCCAACCCCGGTCAACCCTTTAGACATTGTCGAACAGCTGCCGTGACTAGCGTTGGCGTTGCATCCCCAAAGGGCCATTGACTAATAGGATTTGAAGAGCGTAAAATTGGTTCGTTGTGAACATGAAATATGCAGTAAATCCTTCTGCCAGCATCCAGAACAATCTACTCCTGCCTCACCAGAGCCCCTCCCCTCCCATTACCACAGCGCATTCTTATTTTCACATGTTTTTCTTTAATATTTGCTGCAGCGTCGCAGCTTAAATATTCTTTGCAGCTTTGCCATACTTTTCGCCACGGCATTGCAACCGGATGCTTGTTGGCTCCCGCGATCCCATTCGCATCCGGGTGCGAGTACCAGGTCCTGGCTCCTGACTTTTGCTATTACCGCTGCCATGGAGGCCAATGTACGCGCAGTTTGTTACAATTTCGCGGTTCGATTTCGCACCAAAGTCGCCATCGTCCTTGTTGTTGTCCTCCTGGGCGCGATGGTGTGTTTTATTATCGCAAATAAAGCGCAATCATTGTTGTTGCATCGCGCAGCAAGGCGAGCGTGCATCGCCCTCACTTCCCACCCATGACAGGATTTTTGTTCATGTGGCAGCTGGTTGCATGAAATATTGCAAATAGTTTTATTCATTCCCCAATTGAATGAAATATGAAGAACTCAACGCAAGAATTTTACAAGCTTTCGCACAATATCAGCAACATACTTTCGTGCTTCTCTGTATCAAAACTAAACAACACAGAAAATATAATAATTCAATTTAATTCACGCTTCGCTTTGCTTTAATTGTAGTTGTAAATGTAAATGTGGGAAGCATTTGTTTTCATTATTGCCGCTGCGCTGCCGTTTCAGAATGAGGGTCATATTTAAAATGGCATTTGGCAGCCAGACAGACACTGATAATTGTGCATAATATTTATGCAGTGAGCCACTGATGATGCTTTAAAGTGCCTGCAAAGCTTCGAATGCCATGGAATATAAGAGGGAGAGAGAGAGAGAGGGGGAGAGAGAGAGAGAGGGAAGGACTTGCCCTATCGTCGTCTTAAGGCTAAGCTGGCTGAAGACATAGTCGCTTGTCGTTCATTCAACTGCAGCTTGGCTGACTTCCGGCGTTGCCTTTTATGATAAATTGAAACAAATAGCCAGCAACATCCACCCACATTCACACCATCGCACATATACACATACATCGAAAATGCAGCGAGGACTTTGGCTTATCAGAAAATTGCGCTCAGCTGTTTATGAAAGCATAACAATGTTAGCTGCTGTTACTGCCATGGCCATTACTGCGAGGGCTGCGAACATCAAGCTGATCATCAAGCTGAATGGCTGCCCCGGCTGGCCGAGACGAAGCGTCGCAGCCCATAATTCACAAGTAGGATAAACAATTTACTTATCACTGCTGCAGGCTGGCAGCGAAAGCCTTCAACTCCGACAACAACTACGACTACGACTTCGTCTGAGTCTCAGCTCTCTGTTTCTCAGCGCTGAGAACTCAACTCTCGACTCGCAGTCTCAGTCTCAGTCTCAGACGCTGCCACATTGGCAAATAAATCATAATAAATAACTTGAAAAACGAAACACCTTGCCGCATAAAAGTTGCACGTTGCTGTTGCTGTTGCCGTTGCTGTTGCCGTTGCTTGCTTGGGCAAACAAGTTTTGCTGCTGCTGTCGAAACTTGCTTTGCATTTGGAGGGTATCAGAACTTGGCAACAAGGTTTGTAACATACGCCGACCAGGGATTTGCCATTGTCTGAAACTTCTAATCCACATATATCTATCATCCTTTGCGTATTTGTCTGCTACAAGTTTTGTTTAAGGTGGAAGAGTTTCTAATTAGTGGAGAGTGCTTCTATAATAGCCACAATATATTGCAATATCTTAGCGAGGAGATAACTAGTGGTATTTAAGAGTAGGTTCGCTTAACAGGAAATAGCTTCCACTTAAGGCCCTGGGTATTTTCAAAATTAGTCTAATATGTTTCTATAGAGTGTTAAGATTCCGTAATATTAACTTTCAAATTTTTTACGTTCATAACAATCGTTGTTATTGTTGGCGGTGTTAGTGTCTGCTTACAGTTTAACACTTTGCCAACTCTTCGCTCCTGTGCGGGTCTTGGGGGTTGGGGAGCAGGCTCATTTTTGCAACTGGTGATAAAAATTGATACATAACTGGCATAAATCAGGCGAGTGGAGCGCATTACGCATACGACGCGTGTGTCTGCCAAGCAATTTATTAAATTAGCCACAGTAGCATCAGCAACACCGACACGCACACTCACACATCCACACATACAGAAAGACAGAGAGAAAGAGAGAGAGAGAGAGAGACGTTTACCTAACCCACCCACATTTACGCCAGGGGCAACGGCAAATGGTATCGCAGGTAATTTGTAAATATCTGACAGATGCGCTGATAAACTCATTGCAGAGATTTCATTCATTCATTCTCGACGGCGCTCGTGTGATTTATATGGGGCTTATTACAGTTGCCAACATAAGTACACCTTCACATGGACAACGAACACAAATTTAAGCATAACAACACTTTATTCTTAATACTTGGGGCGTACTTAATGGTAACATCACAACGGGACCAAACCAAATCAATTGCCAGCTTCAAGGCGCATATGATGGCTGATTCAACTTGGTTAACTCTGGCTCTGGCTCTGGCTTCGGCTCCGGCTTCATTTTCGACTTTATGTCCTGCGCCAACGGCGGTTTTGGCAGACTGAAGAATTTCTGTAAATTAAATTTGTGAAAAATGAAATTAGGCTACGGCTGCTTTGCATAATTTAAATTATAAATTAGATGCTGTCGATAGCTGATGGCAGACTTATGGATAGCCGGTTGCTGTTACTTACATCGTGCCTCCCAAAGTTGTCTGCCTCCTCGATGGTGTCTGGCAACTTCTTGTGCAGCGTCTCGGGTAGAAACAGTGCCCCGATTCCGCCCAGCAGAAACAGGGTGCCCAGTATATAATAAGGCGCTCGAATATTCACAGTCGTCCCCAAGTAAACCAGATACGGTGCAAGGACACCAATCCCATTCGCTAGTATGGATCCCAGTGCGACTCCCGTCTGCCTTATGCAGGTGGGATAGATCTCCAGGCACTGTAAATTGGCCGTGAAGAATGTGAGCGCATTGAGGAACTTAATGAATGTGGCCAGATAGATCATTATCCATTCGAATTTCTCATCCGTTGCGTAGACAATGATGGGCAGGCAGGTGAAGAAGGATATGAGAAAGGATACAGAATTGGTAAACCTACGGCCATATTTGTCGCCTGTCCGAATAGAAACCAAAACACGAACAGATGATTGGCAATCAGTGGTCAGTTTTGTTACATTCATAGCTTACTTGCAATTCGCACACTCACCCACATATCTGCCGACCATGTAGGCGGGTATTTCCACAATACTTTGGTACAAAAAGTTCAAAAACGGATTGCCAGCCATCCGCGAACTGAAGAGGACCAGCGTGAAGTAGGAAACGGCAACCACGCACCTGCAAAATGTCCAAAATCAACCAAAAATGGCTAACAGTTAGAAATGCAAATTGGTTTTTTGGGTTCTCAGCTTTCAGCTGCTTTTCTGCCCACCAGCTAAACCCCATGATGATGGTATTCCGAGCCAGACGCCAGCCGGCGAACAGCGATGCCATTCCATATGTAACCTCATGCCCATCCAGACTATAGATTTCGGTCAGCTCTTTCTCGGTCACATGGAATTCTCGCCCATTAATTTTCGCAATCTTCTTGAACTGCACAATGGCTTCGCGGAAGCGTCGCTTGCTAATCAACCAACGAGGAGATTCGATTGTGTATCTAAACGGAGGAAAAAAATAAGAATTGATAGTTTCGGTAAGCCGTGCTTTTAATGCCCTAGCCAACATACAGAAAATGTACAAATGTTTTGATGCGTCTAATATATTGTTATGTCGATATTACAGATGTTTATCTAAAAAGTTGATGACTTTGTGACAAGGTGGCTCGATATTGTTAGGTTTTGGGATAGATAAGATAGTGTTGTTACAGTATATTCATTGTCAGGAGATGTGTATAATTGCTCAGTGAATAAATAAGCGAATCAAGCTATCTTGAAAATCATTAAAGTAGTTCATAAAAAGCTGAGACAAATACAAATTTGTATTGACGCAACTTAAGAAAACGCTTGTTTAAGTAGAATCAGACAGACGTATCGACATTGTTATAGGAACTCATCTATATTATATTTTTTAATATTATATATGTTAATAGGACATGCCACTAGATGTCAGGAAGAGAATGAAGTAGATAACAGTATTGTTGTTAATGCAATAGCTAGGAAAATGTAAATTAGAGTCGATATAGATTTGGAATAGACAAGTTTCTATATATACACTGGCAGACATCATTATAAGAAGTCAACTGTTCGAGCCAGGTGTATACATTTAAATATTAAAGATGTTTCCTTAAGTGCGTTACAACTTTCAAATAAATTTGTGACATCCTCTGCAAGGGTATACAAATAGAAACATATGCGACTGCGTATTGGTATTGACAGTGGCAACGAGAACAATTGGAGCGTTCATTCAATTGAATTGACTGCGTGACTTACTTGGAGAAAATTAAAACCATTGCCGTTGGCAGCGATGTCAGCCACATAAAGGATTCCCAGTGGCGCAGCCACCAGAAGAGCAAAGGCATCAACGTTGTGCCCACCGACCAGCCAACGCTCTGAAAGAAGGCAATTCGACTGCGATCCTCCCTGGCGAAACACAATTGAAAGCAGTCCCAAGCGAAAGTAAAGTTAGTTAGGAAAAAGTTATTTTCTTTCATTTTCTTTTTGCGTATGCAATGTCAAACTTACTCCCGTGAGATTTCCATGCCAATAATTTGTGGCGATTGAAAGAGACTGTTGACGGTGAGTCCCACAATGCCGGACATGATGAGGAACCATGTGTACGACGATGTGCACATCACGGACCCCAGTCGCCCCACCGAGCAGAAGACGACACTAATGTAGTAGACAATGCTGCGACCAAAGCTGCGTCCAAATAAAAATACAAATTCAATTACCGATGGCCAATTGCGAATTGCTCGCGCTCAGAGCCATAATTTAGTTTTGGAGCCAACTTACGAATCGCCCATTTGTCCAAATATAAATGAGCCAACCACCTCCGTTACGCGACCAATAACGAACACATTCGTTACGAACAAATCCTTGGCACAGATCCAGTCCTGGTCGGTGGGTATTGAGCTGTCGTACCAGGTCCGGTCGTAGCTCCAGCCGTGCTGGCAAACTGGCAATCGTAATGACCATAAAACGTATTAGAGTGCAAAGTTGTAAAAATTTATAAGACAGCCGAGCGACTGCTGCCCAAGTTTTTCCATACGCTTCGATTGCCACAAAGCCAGGCAATCTAATGCGTATGTATGTGCTCATGCATATGTGTACATGGGCGTAGCCAGGATGCCAACCTTTCTATTAAGGGGGTCTTCCTTCCTTCCTTCCTGGCTGCGCCAATGTATCTTTTCTTTTGACTACTCACCTGTAGTCTGATTCTTACTACTGCTCCAGGCAGTGAAATTCGTTAGCTCTGTAAAGTTGGCATCGTACATTTCACAATTGCTGTACGTCTCCTTGTTCCGATTGTCTTTCTGTCTATATAAGTGAAATGTTTAGAGACGGGTTCGATTTTATGCAAAGAACAACTCACTTGGGTAATGTCAAATCACGCCATTCCTCTATTGTGTAGTTTGTGTACTCCCTGCCCGGCACCGTGCACCAGTGTTCGGGTATATTCAGGGCTAATATAATATTCATGTAGATCATGGCACCAGCAAAGGCCAGCCCAGCAACGAACACATAGTTGTAGAGGGTCTGATAGCTTCCATGGTTGCCCGCTTTCTCCATGAGCGCCTGGAAGGGATCGTTTATCTCCGATTCGTCTATATCCATTTCATAAACGCTCGTAGACGCCGCCGTAGATAATTTTCTACTATTCGCCTCCGCCTCTTCTTCTTTATCTTTCATTGTGTTGTATTTGGCTTTGCGATCTGAAACTTCTGTTGCTATCTACATAATCCGTTTAAGAGATGATTAGAGTTTATCTTATTAAAAGGCCCCATGCCCAATGTAAACAGAGCAGATCGTATTACAAAGTGAGTAAAAAGTCTTAACGTTTATGATTTTTACCAAATTTAGTTGTAGACGCCATAGGCGCCAAATGCCTTATTTCTATGACTTGATTGTGGTTAATAAAATTTACATTTTATCAAACAACGCTTATGGTTTTCAATTTGTCCACAAGTTTCGTAAAAATTGTGAATGTGATAACTGTTTTATTTTGTAGTTATCACTAAAACTAAATTGTACTATAAACAATAGGCAGTCAATTAAAACGACGAAGTTATATTTGGAATGAACTTTTTCACACTCAATCAATTTTTTTATTTACTTTACTTTCAATGATGTACTTACTTTTTATTGTAGTTGTTTTTCCATGCGATAATTGTAAACCAATCACTAGAAAAATTTCACTGTAATAAGCTATTCACTTTCTCTTGAGTAGTAAATTAATTTTATGAACTAATGCACTAGAGGAAATCAATATAGTTTAACTTTGTATGTATGCTTTATATTTTGGTTGATAAGATTCGAATTGGTTTTTTTTTATTTGGCGTAACTGCTTTCTAATTGCTTTAATTTGAAATCAAAATTTTGTTGACGAATATTATGTTCACAACATTTAATTAGCTCAATTTGAAGAAAATGTTTTGATAATATTTGAAAACGGTGACTCTTCGATTGCACTTCTCACATCACACATGCAAATTGAATATCTCAAGCACCCGCTGTCTGGTCGGGCAGCTCATCAACCGTCAGCAACACTCGATAGTATTGTTGTGAGTGTCGGCACGGGTGAATGGCGGCGTTAAAAACTGGGCCCTCTGCTGCTTTGTATCAGGTGGCTTATCAGCAGAGACAGAGAGTATAAGCATTATTAAATAATTACTGATAAGTAAGGGTCTTCAGTTTACAATGGTTATTCATTATACAGCACGATTAAAGAAGCACAAGCTCCATGAGCATCATTTGTTTGAGAAAATTCATATTATTTGTTGACGTCAGAATATTTAATTGAATAGGCTCAGATTTGAAATTTTGAGAATATATACTGAGCTTTAAATTGTGTCATTTGTGTGTACAATTTTAATTGAACAATTTTTCACTAATAAATATCTCCATAGACTTCTAAGCCAGGGAATTTCCGAGTCGATTTGATGGAGTGCATTTCAAAGATACTTCGTTCAGAAACAATTGACATGGGACTTTTAGATGGTATAAAGATTAAGATTTTATTTTCGATCTGCATTTTGATTTGGATTAGAAAACGTGTGTTTAAGTTGTGAAATGTCGTTTTTTTTTATGATAGCAATTAGAAATTTTCAGTTTCTTGGGAGTCTAGACCTCAAGCGCGATAAGATATCTACCAGGGGGTAAATGCGTGTTCACAAAAGCATAGGCCAACGTATTTGGAGTCGATGTAGGCCAGGGAATCTTAACTTTTGTCAATTACAGATAACTAATTTTCATTTCAATCAACAATATAAAATGTTCACTCCACTTCTTTTACTTATAAGTATATAATATATATATAAATATATATATATTATGTATATACCACACATAGCCTATTGTCTTTGATAGTTTTTATTAGATTATTGCATTTATTATTAATGCGCGATTTTTCTGACTTTGGCTCTGGCTCTGACTCGGAACGCGCCGCAACTGAAACTGACAGTAAGCGCAAATTGTAGCAGAAAATTAGATAGAGTCCATATGTTTGTACAAATGCAATAATATCAATTTTCATATTTTCATTTTCTTATCCGTATATAGAAAGACAAAAGCAATTTAACAATCTACTAAAGCACTTAAGCGCAAATTTATTTCCCGGTCCAGCTGACTACGTCAAAAATAAAGCAAACGAGACAAACACTATACTAAATTCCATCATAAAATTCGTTACTAGTATGTAGCATGTTGTAAAAATGATCTTAGTTGCAAGTGACAAGTGTAACGGTTATATGAATAAACATTATTATGCATTATTCATGCGTGTGTCCGCCCACCCTCAGATATATCTTTTTCACGATTGTCGTAAATTTAATCAGCATCAGTGCAGATTACGGGAGGCAGTTTCGCCTCATCGACATCAGAGGCAAGCGGCATCCATTCAAGCATTCGTTACTAGTCGTTCACATTGAGATAAATCTGCTTGGCACCCTTTGCCTAGTTCGTATGTTCATGAATTTTGTACACTCACATTTTAGTTTTGCGCGACACCCTATGATATATTATTATACACATTTGCATACGTACTAAACGCACATATGTACTTAAATACATACATACATTTATGTATCAGCTGGCCAGTCATCCGAATTGATGTGAACTAAAGCGTTTATTCAATGCCAGTCAAATTATACGACTGTAGGTGCACAAGTAGATACACTCAACGAAGACGATTTAAGCGGTATTTTTTGTTTGATCATTGTCTTATGTGAATTGCTATTTGTAGACTATTCTTTGACTGCTTCTGCTTCCATCCCAAATTCGCTAGTTGTTTAAATTGTGGCAATCAACAAAAGTCGTTAAACTCTTAAGATGAGGTGATAAACGAAAAAACCAAAACAATTCTTAAGTTTCCATTTAAAGAAAACTATAACAAATATTTAAAAAGAATCTTTAGTACACCACTTTGACGCTTTAAGGAATTATTCAGCACTGGTCGGAACTTCGAAAAACTTGTAAGGTTAACGTTTTGGTTACTTAACCTTTTTGTCCATTAATCACCTGAAAAGCTCACTTGTCGCACCTGTTGATCAACCTTTGCCAGTAAAAAAACTCAGGTGATTACTTTTTAGATATGTTCATTTTTATTTAAGACTTTTACTTGATTTATGCATAAACTTTCATCAGCATGTTGTGCGCTCCTTTTGGATTTTGGTTTTTTATTTATATTATTTTTTCTTGTTGTTGAAAATTTCTTCTAAAATGTATGGAGATGCTCGGGAGATTTAAAGTTCGCTAGCTGCATTTTGTTTGTGTACTAATGAAATGTTAGATTTTACTTTTAACTTTACTTTGCCTGAAACTGCAGTGTGATTCTTTTCTTTGTTGTAATGTTAAACTTTAATATTGCTTACATATTCATTTTAATTACATAATTTTACAGTGATGAATGAAAACTGCTGGCACAAGCTGCATCTTGTCCTTGTGCAATTGTATGTTATTTTTGTTTCTTTTAATTTTAATTATAATTTACAATTGAAACACTTAAATATTATTTGTTAGATAAATAAAAATTCAAAATGCCTACATACGTATATGTTTACTCTCTGGCTTTAACACGTGCGCTATTATTTTAAATGTTTATTTTCCTTTTTTTTTGTTTCTTGACTAACTGTTAATTTTTATTTAAATTTTTGGGATTATGTTTAGATTTTAATTATATGAATATTGATATATTTATATATATATTTATTTGATGCTCATTAAGGGCTAAAAGCATTTTGGAATTTTCTCGATTTGTTTTGTGTCAAATATACATTTAAGTCAAGGTGTATCCGATATTCATATGCTTTATGATAAATGCATTTGTGATTGCTCTTGAATATTTGTATTGATTTAACTAATGGATTAATCTGAAATCAATAAAATCTCCTGCACTGCCTGACTAATTTCATTGTCCTTTCCTTTTGATTATCGCTAAATAATAGCTTGCAAGTCGCTAATAGTTTAAATATATATATATATATTTATATATATAGATGTGTTTATTCTTATGTACTTATGCATATGTTATTTATAATATGTTATTAAATGGCATAAATATACACTCCAGTGACAAAAATTCCTAAATATGTACATATCGCTTGCACGGAGTCTACGTTTTTTCCAATTTATATTGCTTAGCATACAATGTTTTAGCTGGTTTTGCAAATTTACAATTTTGACGGATTATCATGTGTGTGTTTGTTTTGTTTGAGTGTGTGTGTGTGTGATTTGATTTCTGTTTTACAATATTTGCACTTAAGAGTAAACAATTCAAATGAGTTTTCGTAGAATAATTAAGTGTTTAAAATGTACGTTGGCAAGTTGGTGTTTTCTTCTTGTATTTGTTTTTTGTGTAAATATATATTTAAATTTGTTGTTTTTTTTTTCTTTTCCTTTTTTGCTTGTTATAAAATGTTATTGGTCTATTGCTTGCACACGATGTGCTTTAATATAGGAATCAACTTGAGTTATTTATGGGGGCCACTTAGCTGTGACCGCGCACTAAGTAAAATGATGTTAGTTAATTAAAAACGGCAATTCAAGTTGGACGTTTGACAATATCACGTTGCGAAATACACATAGCAATAATAAACAATTGGCAAGTGGCAAATTAAAAAAGTACTTTACAACAGGCTAACTAAAAATAGTTAAACGATTTGAATACAATTACATTACTAAGTATATAGCTCTGTCTCTTTTTTTTTATATAAATATAAATAAATATATATATATATATTTATATATATATATATATATATATATATGTATATCAGTTTATATAAATGCCAACATTATCGGAGGAAGGATTGACTGACTAACTGACTCTTGCTCTGTGTGTGTGTGTGTTCTCTATCTCTTGATCTCTCTTTATCTCTCTCTATCTCTCTTTATCTCTCTTTATCTTTATCTTTCTCTATCTTTCTTTATCTCTCTCAATAACTCTTTCTATCTTACTCTAACTCTATCTCTGGCTCTCTCTCTGTTGCTAGCTATCTGTCCCTATACACTATACATTTGAACTGAAAGACGCGTCTTGGCCTTTTTTTCACTATCGAATCACAGCAATTGAAATACGTACACCTAACTCATAGATCGAATACAGCTTAACCTAAACTACAAACTGTATGTAATAAATGGGTCGTTATTGATCCTTGTCATCGTGCAGCAGCTGGGACGCCGCATTGCCACTCGTATTTTTGCGCAAATGATTGCGCAACATCACCAGATTGCGATTCAGTGGCAGATTGCTGGACAGACCCAGCGGATTGCTTGCTGCTGAGCTGGGGGCATGTGGCAGTGTGTGGCAAATGTTGCCAAGTGGCGCTGTGGCATTCAAACCGCCCACCAGGCTGGCCGAGGCAACTGATGTAGTGGGTGATGTGGCGCCTACGCAACTGCTGCTGCTACTGCCCACTGCGGAAGCGGCGGCGGCAGCAGTAACTTGACCTATGCCCACGCCCAGGAGCAGCTCGTGGGCGAGTATGGTTGGCAAATGTTAAGTGCTGCTCTTCAGCGGACCCGACGATAGCGAACTGCTGCTGACGCCCGAATCGCTCGACTTCTCACTGAGTCCGCCACGTGTGAGCGTATCGTCGCCCATAAGCCCGCCGCCGCCAAGAAAGGACTTCTTGCCCACACGTGCTGGCAGCGTCGCCTTAAAGGGATTATCCTTGCAGCGACGTGCGCTCTCCACACGCTTCATGATCTCGCTGGAACACTTGGACACTACATCGTCCAGACTGTTTGACTCATCGGTCGAGTTCACCGTCTGCGTTGGCGTCTGCGAGCTGGGCAGCGGTGATCCTTCGTAACAGCCCGAGTCACGGGGGAAGTGTCGTCGCCCGAAGGGAGAAGCGCCGTGCTTCTTGTTGATATTATTCAGGCGCGCCTCATCGTTCTCTGAACTGGAGCCGGCAATGTCCACATCGGAGCCTGTACGTGCGAAATTTGAAGCTGTTTTAAGTGTGTTTGTGTGTGTGTGTGTGCGGAGTGTGTTCAGGACGGGGGGGCAGGTGGAATAATATTGATTGTTGCTTGAGCAGTGGGTGTGGTTTAAGGTGGTTCTCTAATGCTTACATTCAATGTCATGCAACAGCTGCACTGCCGTCAACAGCTTGGCTCGATGCTCCTGACTGAGTATGCCCAGGTAATCCAGATCGGCCGGCTCGAGTTCCTTGAACAGTTCCAGATCCTCGTAGCTGCAAATGGAACGATAGGTGAAACAATCCAACAAAAAATTGTTGAGAGTTTTGTTTCATCTACACCACTTACCCGTTGAGCACGAACACCGAGGTGTACTCCTTGAGGCCAATGCGCATCAACAGATCCTCCACAGAAATGGGTCCACTGTTGCCACTCCCATTGTTGCTATTTGCCAATCGAGAGGTTGGCGCCAGGGTTTTACTGCTCGAGTTCTTCATGCGCTGCTCGGGCAGCACTTCCACATTGATGAACTTGAAGTGACCCACACGTCCATGACAGCGGCCCTTCCAAATGCCGGAGGCATTCATAGACAACACATCGATGAGTTCGCCCTTCTGTAATATGAGATGAGGCAATGCATTTATAATTATTCGTATAAATACAGAAATATGTATTTAATTGGACATGTTTAGTGCTTGCTCGAAAATACACTTTAAGGAATTTTAAATATTAAATATTAGTTGTCGATTAGTTGAAGTTTTTGCTTACCTTGAACTTAAGCGCCTCCTTGTCGTAGGGATTGGGCAGGCTGTCGACAAGCGCTTTGGCCTTGCAAATGGTCGCCAGCGAACTGCGATCCTCGGCAGAAATGGAGCTGTGGGGGCTGCCAGGACGTACTAGGGCTTGAGTGCCTGCCAAATGGATGGTTTCAAGTTTAAATATTTGTCTCGACTAAATCCTGATGGAAGTTTGCCCAGAAAATTTTCCAATTAATACGCCCACAGCCAATTAGCCAAGGGCTGAAGAATTTTTGGCAGTACCAAAAATACACACACATACTTACGCACACACACACACAGTTCGTTTGGTTAATTAAAAACTTTTCAAATATTTTTACACACACACACAAAAAAGGAGTAAGAGAGCGACAGAGAGGGAGACAGAGTGAGGCACAGAGGCACAAAGCCCGGTCCGCCCAAAAAATATTCAAATAAGCACTTGAAGTTTTTGGCCAAAGCTTTGGCTAATCCTTGCTTTGTGTTCCAGCCACATAAAAATAAAGTATTTTTTCTTGCACTTTTCAAAGTTGCTCCTCTTCGTAGTAAATCCACCTTTTAGCCCAATCCCTCGGCTTCTGCTCTTGGTTTTTGTTTTGCTTTGCGTTGTTTTTTATTTAGAGTAGAAATTTGCGCATATAGCGAAAACTTTTGTTCATTAAAAAGTGAGCTGCAGCAGCGTCGACGGCTGGCCTTTATTTAACCACGCCCCAGACATTGCACATTGGGCTGCATTGCAAGGCCCCATACCCCGAGCACTTGCCACATTGCCAGTTGCCAGTTTGCCAGTTTGCCGTTACCAGTTGCTAGTTGCCAGTTGCCAGTTGCCACTTGACTGTGAGCAAGTGCATTAAAAATTCATTAAGTTTGCAAAATTTCAAGTTATTGTGCAGCGGTTGCAGAAACAACCGCAACAACAACTACAACTGTTAATAGACCAATATGCAGCTGGTGGATAGCAGGGTGGTTAGGGGTTGGCAGAATGGTTGGCAGTCTGGGAATTTTTATAAACAAACCACCAGAAACGAGGCGAATGCGTCTATCTACCCGAGCAAAAGAAAACCCAAAGGCAAAAGTAGAAACCAAAATCAAAGCTCTAAATTTTAAGCACACACATCAGATACACACACACATCGCACACACCTACATATACCTATGTATAGATATATATATGTATATATATGTATATAGATAGCTAGCATACTTACTCGAACCGGATGCGCTGGGCAAACTTTCGACGGAGCTGGCGGAACATGCAAACGCCTGATCGCTCATGCTGCCACGGTCGGTATTATCTTGGGAATTGCTGAAATCCCTTGATGTATCCTTTGTGGCAACAAAGTTCCGTCCATTCTCATTAAATGCGCCAATTTCCTTTGGCGAGCTACGCATTTCGCTCGACTGCAACACCAGAGCAGTGAAAGTTGTTTAGAGATCGGAGTCATCGTCGTCGTCGTCGTCATCATCATGTTGTGCAATAAATTGCATGTTAAGCGGGGTGAGAGCGGAGCATAGAGAATAGAGCCAAAAGTTTTGTTAGTTAAATCATTAAAAAGTTTAATGCTACCACACAAATTCCTACACACACACACATACACACACACAATCACACACACACACACACAGATACACACACACACACGTGGATAGACTTACAGTCTGTGGAAGACAAACCCTATGCGGTGGCCATGCTTTTTTTAGGTCTTCGGCTGGATTTGGCTGCAATGCTTCCGGTTTGGCTTTGGCATTGGCTTTTTGAGAGTTTGATAGTGAATATTAAGCTGCTTGCCTTGCGCTTGCCACAAAACTTTCCTCATATCTTGTTCAGTCAACAGGCCTAGGCGTCGATTGCAACTTTTGTTGCAACCAACCAAAAAAAAAAAAAACTTTTCTGCATTTTTGTTTTGCAGACGCGGAAAAATCAGTTTTTCAAATTAACAAAAGAAGGTAGAAATCTTTAAGTTGATGCTCTGTGTTTTGATTTCTGGGTTTATATTTTTTTAATACGTTTTTCCATACTTTTCCCTCTTATTTAATGTGTACTGCGAATTTGTCTCCTAAGCTGTTGTCAGAACGCATAAACATTTTGATACCAACTTTGAGTAATGTTTCAAAATTTGAGTATCCCCTATTTTTTTGTTGTTTTATAAGTTGATAAAAAATTGTATTCATTTTGGGACCCCAAACACCAAAATGGCTGGAATTCACTCCTGTGAATTTGAAGTTTTTGGCAAGGTGCAAGGCGTCTACTTTCGTCGCCATGCCGAGATGAAGGCCAAGAATCTGGGGTTGCGTGGCTGGTGCATGAATACTGCAGAAGGTACTGTCAAGGGTTACATTGAGGGTCCACGCACCGAGATGCGCCTGATGAGGGAGTGGCTCAAAAACACTGGCAGTCCCGCCTCTAATATTGCCAAGGCTGAGTTTACACATATTGTTGAGAAAAGGGATTATGGTTTTAAGAACTTTCATATCAGACCCGATGAACCCAAAGATCATTCAAATAAATTGTCTCAGAGATCAAAGACATTGAAAATAAACGGAGTTCCAAACTAAAATAAACAAAATCGAAATCTTGAATATTTTAAGTATTTAAGATCAGCATATTCGCGAATATAATATAATGCAACTTTCAACTTATTAGCAAAGGCAACACAAATTCCCTCTCTGAAGTTTTCTAGTGCATTGGCAACCGCAGCGAAAAGCAATCATGGCCAAAAGCCCAACACATGAAACTGAAAATGAACTTTCACTTTTGCTGTCTGTCCTGAAGGCATTGGGATGCGTTCTCTTGCCTCCTCTTGCCACCACCCCTTTCCGTGTCCGGCATTTTTGGGGCGCGCATAAAAACTCATTTAACTGGCATTTGCATTTAGAGTGCATGTTCAAACGCTGCCCGTTGGCCATGATGCAAAAGTATTTTCGAGTCCTTTTGGGCTTTTTATAGCAATGTTTTCTGAATAGGCCGCAGATAAACTGCAAGTGACTTGAACATACAAAAAGTGAGATAGAGAAAGCGAGAGACAGAGAGAGAGAGAGAGAGAGAGAGAGAAAGAGAGAGCGAGCGAGTGGTCACAAATTCCAATCAGGCGCATATGTAAATGGCCAAGCTAATTACATTTTGCAGCTCACAGAGTTCCGGCGAGTCAATAATCTCAATGTTGGTTGTTGTTGTTGTTGCTGTTACCAAAATGCAATTGCAATCACACACACATAGACACATAGACACACACATACATATGCACACATGCACAGGACACACTCACGTGTTGCTTGGATTGTCGTCAACAGAGATTAATTAACTTACATGATGCACCATGGCCTTCTGACAAATCGTATTCGCCTTGTGGGGCAGCCCGTTCTTTTTGGCCTTTGCTGTGTGCCGCGTGGCGCCAATGTCCTCGTAATCGGATGAAGGACTCGGTGACAGCGATGGCGACTCACCAATTCCGCCACTCAGCGTCCGGTATCTTGCCGTGCAATTGTTGGTGCCAATCTATGGGGAACGGTGGTAAGAAGTTAAATGCGTTAAAAAAGAACTCAAAAAACAACAAAAAAAGAAGAAAAAAATGCAGACAAGCCAAGTCATGTTGGCAAATGAAATGGCCAACAGTCGGTTCTCATTTGGCATTTCGACATCGTTTAGCTGGCTTAAGTGGCGTCGTTGCGACTGCCTAACAAAAAACAGAGAAAACTTTTTGGCTAAAAAGCTTTTCGAGTTTTTATGTTCGCACACGGTGCCGACGTGCATTTGGTTATTCTTCAGCTCATCCTCATCCTGTGTTCCTGCGCAAAGGACGTTTGGCAAAATGCGAACTTTGTTTGTCACTAAGTGCACTTAATCAATTTAGACGACGCATTGAGACGCACACACACGCGTGTGTGTGTGTGTGTGTGTATCCTTGTGTGGAGTCGTAAGTTGAAAGGAGGAGCTACTTAAATGAGCTGGCTTGCTGCTGGCTGGCTGGCTTGCTGTTCATGGGGTCTAATGGGTTTTGGCTCACTCACCGAAACTGTGCTGAGTCTGGAGGTAACACTTTGTAAATCCGAAATGGAGCCCGCATAGTCGCCGCTCTCGCGATCATGGGACCTGCAATGGAACAACAATGGAATGATATGTGCTTAAATGTAAAATGTATTTCACTTAATGCGTATTTACCCAGTTGCTTATGGGTATTTTTGAATTAACTACTAAAGTTTAAAGGTTTAAAACTTGGCTAGCAAAGGGTATTTTATGTCTTTGTCCTGACAATTGAATTCCTTGCCCCATAAAAATCCTACACAAATGCATTTGGATTTACCCGGCATTGTCTGGGCAAAGTGGTTGTCTTTAGAATTTTATCAATTCTAGACGCATTTAAATAAAGCTGTGGAAATAAGAAATCTCGAATGCATATTTTCATCATTTTCTTACATTGATTGTTATAAACATTCTTTTGTCTTTTGAGTTAAATAGTCAACCAATTAAATTCTGCTCTCCGTTCATATTTTGGCAGCTTTCAACTGTACTTTCAATTCACTTGAAGCAGTTGGCTTCTCATTGCTCATATATATATATGCATAAGAACAAACTATTTAAGTTATATGCCAAATATTTGTTCATCTTCACCTTGAGTAGCAGCACCCAAAGAAAGCTGACGATGGCTTAGCTGCCTGGCTGGGGTATGTGTGTATATCCTGTATCCTAGTGTACACTTGAAGAGGCTTTCGGTAACCGTTTTGATTTCAAACCAGACTTGGTTTGCTGCTAAGCAAATATGTATACACAAGGGCAAGAACAGCAACAATAATAACAAGAACAGCAATAATAACACTTGGCACAAAGGACCTGGGTCCAGGGGACAGCAAGCAAATGCTTCAATATATAAATAAATATCTTATACCTTTTTTTCTTCGAATTCTTTTTATTTGTTTGTTGCTGCTGCCATTGCTGTTGCCTGCCTGGTCGTTTGACTTTAACACTGTTGAGATTTTCACTTTTGGCTGTATATCGTAAATGTGTATTTTCGGTTTTTTTTTTCTTTTTCATTTATTTTTATTTTTATTTTTGTTTCTTTTATTTGGCCAAGGAAAGTTTTTTGTTTTGGCCCTAAGGGTACACAGGGCGTATAAGTTATTTCAGCACGTCTTTTGTATAGTTGCCCGGTGCGTACGTGTGGAAAACGGTGCTCCACTGCCAATTGGCAACCGACAACCGACAACTGGCAACTGGCAACTGGCAAACTCGACATTTGTCCTGGCATTTTGGACCTGGCTGATTGACGAGCCGTGTTGTTGTGTGGAACGCTCTGGAGCCGCGTTGAAGTAGCAATAATGCCATTTCATTCAAGTGTCGTCGTCGTCGTCGTCGTTGCTGTCTATGCTTTGGTCCAATATTGCAGACGACGTCGTCCTGGTGGTGTTCCCATTAGTTTCGGGCCCGAATAGAGCTCCACATCCACTTTTGCTGGAGCTGCTGTTGCTCCTGAGTCAATGTTTTATTCTTTGTGGCATGCGTAACAATATGAAATTGATGACTTTCGCTTCAATGCGTTACGATATGTTGCAAGCAGTCAGGCAGTCCAGCAGGCAGACAGACAGGCAGACAGACAGATGGTTGAGTGAGACAGGACATTCAAAGAGCCAGTTTGTCATTCACTTCGTTCACTCGTTCCTTCGTTTGGCTTATTCATTCATGTGGCTGCAAAATGTTGATAACAGCACTAATGAAGTGAGGCTACCTTTTTATTTATTTTTTTACTTTATTTTTTTATTTTGCCCTTCTGCTCGGGTCAATCCTTTTGCGCACCTTTTCACATTGACAAATAAATTCAAGGATTCCATAGGGAAGAGCAGCAGCAGCAGCAGCAGCAGCAGCAGCAATGGCAGCAATAGCAGCAGCAGTAGCAGTTGAGCTGGTTGATTGCTTTGCTTTGCTTTTGGTTCAATTCGATTCGATTCGATTTGTTGCGATTTGGTTTTGGGCTTTTGCGTTTGGGTTTGGGTTTGCGTTTGGTTTGATTCGGTCAGCTATTAGTGTTGGCTTGTTTACAGGGCTAAATGTTTGGCCTTTTCATGCCACACTGCACACATTTGTGGCACATTTTGTACTTCACTGAGTTTCTCGGCCAGCACTTTGAAGTGGTCAAAGGGTTCAAGTTGTGCCAGCAATTGCCAAATATTACAAGATAACTGCTCACCCTCCACGACTTCGATGTGTATATATATCTGTATATATATAAATATATATATAACACATTTTTTGTGTTCTCTTTGGCCTCTTTGTTGCGTTTGTATTATTAATGCGTTGCCCTTGGCCCCCACAGTCATAAACTCAACTGCAAATAATAATGGCAATCAGCAAGGCAGGACTCTGCCGCAAATCCCCATGCCCCATTCCCATATATTCGGGCTACTGTTCGACTGGCCCGTGGCAACAGCGCGCGCACACACACAGACACTCACCTGGCATGCGTTAACGGTATTATTGTCGGCGGATTTGGCGGCTGCTGCGGCACGATAAGCCCTCGTCGCGGCGGACCGCGTTGCGGCAGTGAAATATCTCCGGCGGATCTTAATGAAATTACGCCCGTGCGTTCGCGGTTGTTCGAAAAACGAACTCGGCCACCCTAAGAGAGAGAGAGAGAGAGAGAGAAAGATATATGTATATAGAGATATATAAAGTGGAGTATGAGAAATGTAAGCAAGACATGCGGATTAGCGCTCAAGTAGAATTTGTTGCACAGCAACAACAGCAACAACAACAACAGAAACGAGAAAAGCAACAACAAATTATGAAAAATTAACAAAGTTATAAAAGTTTATGTGCCGCGTGTTGCCGCTGAGTTGCCCGTTGTGGCTATTATTGTTTCAGCTGTTGTTGTTGCTGTTGCTTTTGTTGCCTGTCAGTGATTTTATGTTATTGTTGTTGTTGTTTCTCTTGTTGGGGTTTTTGAGTTTTCATTTTTTTTATTTTTGTTTTTCGCATGGAATTTTAAATTTAGTTTATTTGAACGTAGCGGAAATTGCAAAGTTGTTGCTTTACATTTGGGACACACACACACACACACACAACAACAACAGCAGTACACACACGCATACACACTTCTCAATTACAGCTGCAAGTTTCATGTTTGACGTAATTTGTGGCAACATGTAAATTGCAAAGTTTTGTATCGTGTAGGTTTTGCTGTTGCATACTTCATGAAGTTAGTGGTAGCGTAACAACAACAAAGTTGCAAGATGGGGGCATAGATAATGAATTTGTTGCACATCTATAGTGCCTCAATTATCAAAAGGGCGAACAAACATAGAAAGAGACAGTGAGAGAGAGAGCGAGAGAAAGTAAGAGAGATGTTTGGTCTCAAACTCAAATGCTATGCATTTTGATACTTTTTAAGCTTTTGGGCCCATTAACATTGGCCAGATGCGGTCCACTGAGCAAATCCAACAGCAGAAACAATAATATCAGCTGGGACAGTTGGGCGCTTAACATTTTTATGGACAGGCCGGGTAAAGTGCTGCGCAAACCGCAAAAACTTTTTGCTAAGCAAATTTGGTTTGTTGCTGTTTTTGTTGTTTTTTGCCACATCAAAGCGAAACATGAAATTGAAAGGCCACAAAGGGCGGCTCAAGCATATCGAATCCACTGTTGAGTGATTTCAATTGACTAAGAAAACAAAATTTCAGTGCTCGCTCTGCCAAATTGAAATGGGGTACACACTTTACACCCACAATCCAGTCAGTCTCCACCTTCCACCTTCTACACGCCCACTTCCACATCCCCCAAAGGCGCAGCGACAAAAGCGCAACTTTTGTGAATTTCACAAAGAGTCGAAGAAAGTAAGGAAATAAAATAAAAAAGATGTGTATGGAAAGCCAGAGGAAAGTCTCAAGACGACGTCGTCATCGTCGACGGGTTGAGTCAAGTCAATAAGAATTATGCATTTTTTGACTGTCAATAAAAATAAAGTAAGTTGAAGTTCAAGTCGCAGTCGCAGTCGCAGTCACAGTTCGAGAGTTGTCGAGTCTGGAGTTGAGAGAAAAAATGCCAAAGGACATACAAATCGAAGTTGGAAATCAATGCGCTAGCAAAATATATTCAGCGTATAATTTAATAAAGCAAATAAAAAGAGAATGGCAAATAGAAGGAGCCAGGCACGAAGGTTGGCGAATCCGCAGAGAAATCAAAGTTACAACTCGGAGCGACCAATGAGGCGTGGCACTTGCCTCTGCGCCAGGATTAACAGCGAAGACGAATGTGCTGCATAAATCAAGAAAAAAAGTCTCCAGTTGAGAGTGCCTGACAGGTAAATACCCTGTAACCAGGTCTACAATTCATTTCTAGTTTCCTCATCTTCACATACACAAAACACTTACGTAAATGTGGAGGGACACGACTAGATCGGTAATGCTGATTAGGACTATATATTTATTATATATTATACATTTAGTACACAATTTATGCTACCCCTTTTGCACATTTTAATGGGTGCATCGAATAGAAGAAAGAAATAAGCAGCTGAATTGCCGACGACATTGTCGATGCCAAGAAATTGGCTGATAACTGTGCATGCGACTGCGATGGCGGCTGCCTTGCCAAATATCCTTCTGGTTTGTGGCATTTACTGCTCTAAGGTTCAGCTGCTGCATGCAAGTGCATGCCAATAAGTGGGCGCAAGTGTTTGGTAAACCGCGTTCATAAATCACAGACAAGCAGCTAAATTGTAAGGCTTACAATTGGAGACACACACACACACACACCCACACACACACATAATCACATACATATGGGAAGACTTACCTGAATGGTAGCAGCTGGTCCACAGTTGAGTCCGGCCATAAGGAAGTCATCGGGATCGCTCTCGTACGGCGGCTCATCGTACCAATGACCTTGATGATGCAGTGCACTGACCGCGTAGTGTGCACCACCGCCTAGACCAATGATGCCGCCACCCGCACCAATCGGTCCGGTTCTCAGTGCCTCATCGTACATGTACGTATCATCTGCAAAAGGATAGACTGTTAGTCGGGAAGTCGGTTGCTTCGTTGGTTGGGCAAGGGGTGGCAACATACTAGACCATCGTCATGGTGGCGTGCGGGGTGCCTTAAACTTTTGCAGGCAGGCAGGCAGGCATCCGATATGATGTGCAACGGCTACATGATATTATTATACGCAACGCTGCACACAAAACTTGAAATGCCATTTGCCACATGCGCTGCACAAAAAGTTGCACAAAAAGTTGCACACAGCGTTGCACACATATAGTTGGTACTTGAAATTTTGGTTGCTGTTGTTGCAAAAGGCAACAGGAAACGGACATAAGATTTTATGCTCGCTTATGCATGTGACGCCCGCCAGACGGCGCCACGCCTACTGCCGCAGCAGCAACTCGAGCGCACACAATGTTTGTCTGCTCACATTTTAAAGCACCCAGTCCCAAAGAAAAAACCGCCCCCCTCCCTCCTCAAAAAAAAGCCCATCACATAAAACACTAATGTGGGCCAGGGACGACAAGCAATTTTGTTGGCCATGTAATTGCTGCTGCCCGTTTTTAATTGAAATATTTTTGCCTGGCTTAGAGCTGTCCCAGAAAGCAGACAACTTACCCGTGCGTCCCTCCCCTCGACTCATTTGCAGCAGTCCTTGGCGTATGTCCCGCAAGATCTGCAAAAATTAAATGGAAATATATGAAAATATATATTTTTTACTTATAAATTGGAAATTATACTCAATATTTTCAACAGCTGCATATGCAATAGTTAGTGAATAAATTATCTCTTGAGAGTTCTGAGCTAAGCTAATACTTTTTGCCCAAAGGAAAACACTAAATACACTTCAACTTTAGTATTGAGTTCAGTCTCATCAGCTAAATGCATAAAAAAGTGCACTATATGAACACTAACAAATGCGAGTTGGGGACTTTAAAAAAAAGACAGTCGTCACAGTCAGCACCCGCTTTTTGTATATTTGGAGGCACTTTGTCTACGTAAAGGATACGTGACTGCTGTACACAATAAAAGGGACTCAGCATTGGCAGGCGATGAAGTTTCAGCTTATTCGTCAGTCTGCTTGCTTTTTTTACAGCTGCAGCTGGCTGGCAAAGGCGTTAAAATTACAAAATTCCATTTGAAACTAAAACAATTTTCAGTTCAGAAGCACAACGAAATTGCTGCTGCTTGCTGTTTGGTTGAATGTCCTGCAACATAATAGCGCAATATATGCTGCATACTAATTTAAGAACATGCCGGGGCCATATGTAAGACTATGTATGTGATTCTAAAAAGGATGCCAGGGCAAGGCTGTCGAGAAATAGAAATAGGAGCAGCAACATCAACAGCAGTAACAGCAGCAGCAGAAATGTTGCCAGCGGAAAGTAGTGTAAAAATTAGCTAAAAGCTTTTCGGGGCAGCAGCATTAAAAATGCATTTAAATGGCCACAACAGCAGCAAGCAGCAAACAGCAACGGCAACGGCAACAACAATTGACTCTGTCTGCCATAGCAATTTGCAAATTTATGTGGCAAGAGGCGAACATGTTGCTTAAGGCTAATCACATTGCTCCAGAGCCGTGCTTAATTGACTGCCCGATAGCTGACACAAAATTATTGGCTCGCAAACATTTGTTTTTGGTCAGGTCCGAAATTGTCGCCATGCTCGTTTATAAATATTTCATAAGCATGAACAATTCGCTTGTCTTTTTTCTTTTTTTTTTCTGGTTCTATTAAGTGTTTTTTTTCTGGCTCTTGTTGCCCTTGGCGCAACTGGAAAATGAGTAGCCAGCATCCTGGCCGAGCCAGATGTTCAGTTGGAGGCACTGGCAACAAAAACAGCAATTACAATTAGACAAACATCAAGTTGTTTGCCCAAGTTAAGCAGCAACTACAACAACTGGAATACCACTAGCAGCAGCAGCAGCAGCAACAACAATGACGGCAAAACATTTCATGTATGTATGTGTGTGTGTGGTGTGTGTGTGCTTTTCATTTATGCACAAAAATTATTGCCTTTGCTTAGGCGGACATGTCGTCGACAGGCAAACGGACAAATTGTCGTACAGCAACGCATTTTACCCACATACATACACAGATGAGTGTGTGTGTGTGTGTGTATTTTCAAGAACTGTGTACTTCAGTTTGGCCAGCTGCAACAGCAGGCTGAGGTAGCACTGAGGCAGGCAGGCAACAGAATTGCATAGACTATGGGCTTAGTATGGAAAATTCAAAATTGGCTCATCGTTGCGAGAGCTGATAACTCGGCTTTGTATAATTAACTGTGAATATTCGAAGTACATTTCACAGTTTCGATCCGTTGAAAACGTATGTGTTCAACCAGTGCAATCGTCAGTTGTGATTGAATTTTAAACTGTCAGAAATAAGAGAAAATATCTAATGAGAGCTTTGTGGCTGCATTAACTCAATTGAAACAAGAAAATTGGTTTCCTTTCAAGCTTTGCACATGATATTTATTATCTGTGCTCTGAACTCGCATTGTGGATCAATTTGACTGACATATTCATAGCACACCACACATAATATGATTAAATAATTGCTTAAATAACTAATCAAATTACTTTCCACAGTTTGCTTTAGTTTTGAAAACGATTATTTTATATAAAAACCTATTCGCTTAAAGATTCGTATCTTTAAATGTTGCCACTTTAACATTTAAAGCTTAAAGACATAAATTTCTATTATCATATGGAAAGTCTTAGATAAGAGCTATTCCTTATACCCTATACTTCATATGTTAATTGAGGATGATTTTGAGAAACAGTGGGCTACGACACAATTGACATGCAAATTTATGTCGGTAAATAAAACTCATTTTAGGTGAGCCCGCAAAAGGGATCTTTGTGCAATGCCAAAAAAAAACATTTGCTCAAGTCCAGCCACGCCCATTCATTTAAACTCGACCTTTATAGGTTTATACGTTTATACGTTAACTTTTCGACACGTACTCACACTCAGGCAATTAGTGTGCTACCTTTAGAGCATATATATGCATATTAAATCCTTATGTATGTATGTGTGTGTACATATGTATATCATCTGCCTTGTTCTCCGGTCCGGTGTCGTGTACAATTTTCAAAATGTGCAAAATAATTTTTATGACAGACAAAAAGTTTATCATTTGCCACGTTACACTTCATTGTTTTTGTAGCTGGATGTTGTTGTTTGTCCATTGTGTGAGTGTTAGTACTTAAGTGCGATTACATGTGTGTGTGTGTGTGTCTGTGTGTGTGTGCTGTGTGTGTAAATGAATGTTTGTCTGTGTCTGCTTTGCATGTTTTGTACATTTGTTTTGCTAAACGTTACGTCTCGCCCCGAGCAGTCAACAGCAAAAATAATTGCTATTTTTCATAAGAAATATTTTGATAGCTTTTAAAATGGAAGCTGCGCATTTAAGAGTATACAGCATTTAAATATGCATAATACGGCCAACTGCAAGGGGACGATTGATTAATATTACTAAGTAAGTGCCATAGATTTGAATTTTGCATTTTCCATAGCTGCTAATGTTTATTTTATTTATTTTCACAAGCAAAATGCTGCAAGTGCCTTTTGGTAAACTGAATAGTCGTATAATGTTTTGTACGCTTCACTTACATTTCGTTTGCAATTACTATTTTATTTGCAATACATTTTATCTGACACTGCAACGACTTTCAATTAGTGCAGCTTTAAGGCTTTCTTGTGATCCATTGATTTGATGAAGCAGTAGAAATATTTCAATTTACTTATATGTTTATGTATTGATGTACATACCTCCTCGTGTTCACGTTGAAATTTTTCCTTTTTGCGCATTGCTTCTTGTACTTTTAGCTGGAGGAGACAAAATAATAATAATAGTTAATATTAATGCTATATAATATAATGTTTCTCAAGTGCTGTCTGCTGCTTATGGGAAACAGGGCATATTGAACTCGAGACCTATGCTTACAACTTCAGCAAAGAACACGTAAGAACATCGTGAAGAAGTATTTCAAAGTTTAAAGTTTGCTTTTAGGTGCTTGGTGCTTGGGCAGAAGTTGGCTGGTGTGAAATTCATGCGTGCAATGGCACAACTAGGCGTTGGCTGTATGCATTATGCAGCGATTTGCTGTTGCAGCTGTCGTGTTGCTGCTGCTGCTGCTGCCGCTGCTGCTGTTGTTGTTGCAGCTGTTGTTTTTGCTGTCGGTTTGTTGTCGCCGTTGATTGCATTTTGTTGCTTGTTTTTGGTTGCCGTGCGCGCTGCTCGCGCTGTCATTAATAATGAATGTTGACGGCAATGAACTTTTAAATGTTGCATGCATCTACTTTGTGCCGCAGTTATGCTGTTATGCCGTTGTTGTTTCTACTGCTGCTGCCATTGCAGGTAAACGTGCTCGCGAGCAACGGTTACAGCTTTCGTGTTGAAATTGCATTGCAAATGCAACAGCAGCAGCAGCAGCGGCAGCAGCATGTTTTGGAAGGTGTTTGCGGGTGTGTGGCATAAGTAGGTGTGCAAGTTTCTTATTGTTGTTGCTGCTGTTGTAAACAATTTTGAAGTAATTTTGTTTGCTGTGGCAGCTGTTGCCGCTTACAGCAAATGCGTTACACTGCATAAATATTTATGCTGCTGCCACTGTTGTTGTTGCCGTTGCTCTTGCAGCAAGTGGGTAGCCCATACATATTTATTGCGTATACGCGCCGTGTACTCACCCTATGGATTGTCTCCTCGAAACTCTGCTGCGGCACCCCGGCACCGCCGTTTATCATTTGAAAGTGCCGCAGACGATCGTTAGCCGCCTGCAAGTTGAAAGTGTATCAAAATCAATTACAAAACGTTTCAATTTAAATATTTTCAATTTTTCAACTTTGCGTCTCAAGCAAAAGTTTTGCACTCCTAGCTTATTAACTCGGCGCAAAACTTGAAGCCAGCTGCAAAGCTAGCTGCCCTTAAAATATTCACAACGACCGCCAACGGGCGCTGAAAGCTGTTAGCCAAGAGTTGACCCAATGCAAAGAGACTCATAAATCAGTGTGGCGGGGTTCACGTGCTTTATCGCCATTACGGGACGCCATTTTGTATTTCACACCTTTCAGCTGGGCTTTAATTTTTAATTAATAACAAGCAGGGGCAACGAGGGTCGCGACCCAAGTGTTAAGAGTTGTGTGTAAGCCAAAAAATACAAACAAAAAAATGAATAGCCCCATTCAACCCAATTCAAGGTATTCCTGCATAACTCTATCTGCATCTCATTCGCTCCCTCTCCCAGATGCTGGCCGACTAATGCGTTTGTTTTCTTATCATAAATAGCAAATCAGCTGGGTGTACACAAGTAAATGGCTAAAACACATGGCCACGCGGCCAGGTGAGTGCTGTTTAATTATATTTTGAAAGGCGACTGGGTGAGTAGGTGGGGGTGTGGATGAGGATGCTGCTACTTAGGCGCATATCCTTAGTCATTTCCTGCGCTTATCTGCTGCACGATTCAACCCAATCCCAAGCCCAAGCCCAAGCCCATCCCCAACCCTTATCCATTTCTCCCCACCCTATGTTGCCTTTTTGGCTCGTTCACTTCTCTTTACTCATTCGCTTTATTATTTATTTTTCAGCTGGCAGCTTCTTTTATTTATTCTTTTCTTATTTTTTTTTCGCTCGCTCGTGCGCTCCTTGCTTTTGAAAAATTTATGCATGTCCTTGCTTATTTATGAGCGGCGACGACGACGTCCTGCCACGGCAGCGTTATCTTTGGCCACAGTTTCATTGCCAAAGCCCCTTTTGTTGTGCCCCCACCTCCCTGATTCACTCCATCCACTCCCTCAAGAATAGTGGAAAAAGTCTACAGTACAAACTGATGCTGGTGCTGATGCTCTTTGGCTCCCCAAAGGTGGCTGGGCTCTAATCAAAGGCGCTCAGCCCCTGAATGTGGCCTTTGTGAAAGAGAGTGCTCAGATAAACTCCCGACTACATGCTGGCATAGTACTTTATAGTAGTACAACATTATGCTCGAGCCAAGAAAGAAGAGGCTATAGAGACATGGCCGCCAGGCAATGACAGCGGCAGCAGCAGAAGCAACAGCAGCAGAAGCAACAGCAGCAGAAGCAGAAACAGCAGGAGCAGCGGGAGCACATTTTTAACCTTTTCAGTTGTGAGCGCGAGGCGCGCATAAAAATTTACATGTCCCCGGGGCCAAGATTAAGTACAGCAGCAGTCAAGACGCAGCAGTCACAACAGAAAGTCATAAAACGACGACAAACAGGAGGCTGTGTGGCTGGTGTGGGCAACGAAATATTATGAAATGAACGAAGGGCTATGTGGCGGGAAAAAATAACTTGGCGCAAATAAATTGAAAGAATTACCGCAGTTGATTTAAATGAAAGGCAAAAGGACAAACAATTTGCTTGCGGTCATAAAAGCCAAGCTCGAAAATGAGTTTCACTTGTAGTTGTTCGCAGCGGGGGCAGGGGGATTATATAAGTACAACACAAGTACAAACAAACTTACCCTTGCTTGGGCGCCATTTTGTTGATTGTTGCGATCCCTTCGATTGACAGTTTTTAAGCCTTTCAACAGTCGCGCCAACGTTGTGCGTTTCTTCGTCTCGCGTCCCTCTGTGTGTGTGGCAAGAACGAAAGAAAGCCGAAGAATTGAATTAGCACTGGGAATAATAAGTTGAAAGACTTCAGAGATAAACTCACCTGCAGTCGGTGGAAATTCATAGAAATATGCGGAACGTGGACTCAGGCAGCTGTAAGCAAGAGAAAAAAAAGTATAAAGAAATTCGCTTGATTATCAAATTGTCTGGCAAAAGAATTTCTTAAATGTAGTCAAAATTAAAATTATATTTTTGCTCTCCTTTTCCTTATTTATTATTCGGTCTCTGCGCTACTCACTTTTGTTGCACAAAGTTGAGATGCGCTACATTTGGCGGGAGTGTCTGATGCTGTTGTGGTCCAACTCCGGGCTGTCCTCCACCCGCCTGTTGGCCTGGCACAATTGGTAGTTGTTGTTGCTGCTGCTGCTGTTGCAACTGTTGCTGCTGCTGCTGCTGTATACTCTGCTGCGTTTGCAGCGTCTGCTGTTGCAGCATCTGCTGCTGTTGTGTCAAGCCGCCGCGTGCCACTCGCGGCGCAAAGACGCCATAGCCAAAGCCATAGATCTCATCCTCCTCCTTGTCGGACAAGCAGCTGGAGGGCTGCAAGAAAAAAAAGGCCAATTATTAAATAATCGAATTAATATGTATATTACATATATACAAAGTATTCAATGTGTAAGCGTGCAACATGCGGCAAAAGCAAAAGCAAAACATAAAACAACACAAACTCAACAAATATTTACAAAAATCACTTTATCATTAAATACATTTTATAAGAATTATCTTTGGGTTTTTCTTTTATTTTTGTTATTTTTTTTGTGGTTCTTTTTTGTTTGCCAAATCAACGCCAACATCAATAAAAATGTTCGTTTTTCTGTAAATATTTTTATTTTTTTCTCTTTTTTCATTTTTTTTGTTGGTTTTTTTTGTTGTGCAGCAAATGGGCCCAAGACTGTGTTGTTGTTTGTTGTTGATTGTGCGGGAGGATGGTGGTGGATTCATACATACCGAGTATTTTCCTGGCACATAAATTGGCTGACTATGACTATTGGGCAGGCCGGCGCCGTGCATTGAATGGCCGCGATGGCCATGCTGCTGGCGATGTTGCATAATGCTGACGAGGCCGCTGCCGCCGGCGCTGCCGCTGAGGCCGCTGCCACCGCTGCCGCTGGCGCCGCCGCTGCTGCCACCGGCGGGATGGAGCGGACTGCGCTCCGCCCATGCTGCTTGTCTAGCATTTTCTAAAGCACTTAAAATATCTCCAAAGGGAGCCATTAACAATTCGCAATAGACGGATGCAAGACCCTCTAAATGGCCGCGTTGTCCATCCTGCAAGCAAACAGCAAAACAGCACCAAAATGAAAGTTACATATGTATACGTATCCAACTGGGTCGTGGTGAGGAGGTGGACGGTGGGTGTGGCAGTTACATATGTTTGTATGGAGGAATGCGATTTGGTGCAAGAGTTGAAGGGATTTGTTGATGCACAAGCACTTCAAATTGTCATTTTGCGGATGGGAATTACGATTAGCGATTAACGATAAACGATTAATATGAGCTGGTTAATGATGTTATTGATGTTGGCGTGGGCGTGGTCTAAGGGCGTGCTAGCTAAATAATTGATTAAATTCGGGTTTTAGTAATCATCAAACGGGGTTAGTAACTACAGAGATTACGGTGGTTGCGCTATCAGCTGCAGGCACTGCTTATAGTCATCATTACAGTTTGTACTCAGTGTGTTGTATGTGTGTTTTGTGTGTGTGTGTGTGTGTGTGTGTGTGTGTGTGTGTGTGTGTGTGTGTGTGTGTGTGTGTGTGTGTGTGTGTGTGTGTGTGTGTGTGTGTGTGTGTGTGTGTGTGTATGCTTGTACAATACGCTTAACTCAAATTAGTTTGCCGCTTGACGCCAATTCGCGCAAATTATTAAGTCGACGCCCCCTTAGGGCACTAAAAGCGAACGCCTAATGCACTTAGAGCCAGCCAGAGCCTGCAGGAGCGCACATCGTTTGTCTTCGCATAAATTATGGCACAAAACTTGGCCCTAGCATGAGTGTGTGTGTGTGTGTGTGTGTGCGGTTGTTTGTGTGTATTCTAGTCTCGGCACAGCTGTAAAAAGACCCCCTGCTTGCTGCTATTTGTGTGTGTGTGTGTGTTTGTGTGCAAATATTTACAGCTTGGCAGGCAGTTTGCCTAGTGGCAGTAAATTGCGTAACTCGCCCCCGCTCTCCCCCTCCCACCCATTCACCTACAACATCCCCCGCTCAGACAGCCGAAAACAAGAGAACGATAAAATTGTTAGGCAAGAAGCGAGGCTAAATTACGCAACATGCTCACAATAAACACACACTCTGAAAAATAATAGTGAATTGTAGTCAACTCAAATGAGATTCAAGCATTGCCAGCATTATTCCAGCTAAATTTGAGAGAAATTTAAGACCGAACCAAATCAAGTTAAGAACAAGTTCCATTTTGCAATAAAAAAAAAAAGTTCAACTCACTTAAGATCTATACATTTTAAGAACGTCATAATTCTCTTATGCCGAGCGGGTTTTTCGTCGAGTGTACACATAAGAAGAAAGAAGAAGAGAGGGCGGGAGAACGAGATGAAATGACAAGCAAATGATTTTTATCCAAAGACTTGAAATTGGCCCCACACACTCGAAAATTGCATACCTGCAGGGGCCACTTTTGCATGGCCCGCGACAGTTGGAAGTGGCGCTTGGGGCAATGTTGAACTCTTGACATTGTTGCCAGCGTTGTCAGGCGAAGCCCGGCTCTGCGCAGTGGCATCAATCAAATATGACACACATTAAAATTCTCATGCTGCGACTCATGCGTGTGCTGCACGGAAATTGACAGGCTGCCACATTTATTCGTTTCAACCAACCACCCACCCACCGTAGGCACCCACACCCGCAGTTTGAGTCATTGATGCGACACGCCGCGCATTATAAAATGTCTTCGGCACTGTGTTTTATGCCTTATTTATAGTTGAATTTAATGCCGCTAGCTGCCACCTGGCCAGGTTCCTAGGCATAAACACAGTTCAGTTCTCTCTTTCTGTGTGGGTTAAATGTGTGTATATGTGTATATGTGTGTGTATTGTGCAATTTAGCAGGAAATTGCTGCGTTTAGCGTAATTTTTGCTACTTATTGCCTCTTGGCGCCCGCGTAAAGCCCTTTTTATTTTCTAGGTTTTGCCTCCGCGGAGGTCCTTTCCTTTTCTTAGGTGTTCGTTTTTCTCCTTTCCTTTGATGGGTAATTTTACAATGAGCGCTTTAGGCGTCAAAGGTGTTGGTTGTTGTTATTGCCGGTTGACTGTTTGACTTGTTTTTTTTATTTCTTTTATTAAGGGTGGTCGTTTGTTGGAAAAGTGTCAAGTTCTGATGGGCTAGCAAAGTGTTTTTTCCTGGCTCTTATGCGGCAGTTCAAGGCTCGAGCAGTCGTCGTTTAAAGGAGTGTATTTATTAACAATGTTGCCAGATCGATTTCGAAAGCTGGACACTTGAATTTGACTCACGCATTTATAGGCATGGGTTTAAGTCGAATTTTATTGTTTGGTTATTGCGCTAAAGAGCTTTTCTCTAAACGAGTATTGATTTCAATAGACACATAATTTATATACGAAACGTTCATTATGCATTCTGCACAAATTTATTATGCAATTCATAGTTTATGTGAATCAATTTCAAAGCGACGTCGCCTTATTATGCAAGCGGATATATTTATAAACATATATATATACATATATATATGTAATTGTATATATATATTTGTGTGCCTTTGGTATTTACTCGGCTTGTCAGTTCAGCACGCATTACACAAAATTCATAAAATCATTTGCAATTTGCTGCAAAAGCGAAGGCAATGCGACATGACAGCCAGCTACCAATTTATATGGGTATATATGGTATATATGGTACATATGAGTGTGCTGCTCGACTGATTTCATAAGAGAGGAGAAAACACAACATAAAAAAGCAAGCAAAATAACTGTCGCAATAAAATAATTTATTGAAGTTTTGCAATGCCAGCGACAAATGCAATAAACTGCAAAATTGTGCGCGGCTCACATGACGTATGCGTTATAAATTTATTTTCAATAGTTCGACAGTTCGACAACAGCAAGAGTAGCAGCAGCAGCAGCAGCAGCAGCAGCAGCAGCAGAAAAGAAGCTTGCCAACTCTTGACACACATCCCACTAAAAGAATGTGCGAAAATGTGGCAGACCAAGACACACAGGCACACAGGGAGAGAGAGAGAGACACACAGATACACCACATGGGCGGCAGTTAGTTAGAATGGCTGCCAGATAGGATATAAGGGCTAAAGTGATGTATGAGTTTAACGCCCTCACGTACCGACAGGGACAGCTGCAAAAGTTGTCTACTTATGAGGCAAGAATATGTTGCCACCACCAGGATATATATTGACAGCGAATCGAGCAGTGTAGATATATACACATATATATACATATATTTATATATATATATATATTTATATTAAGCGCATGCTCGTGCTAGGATTTGGCAATGACAGCAGCAGCAGCAGCGAAAACTTTTCTTTTTTGGTTGCGAATTTTTGTTATTGCTGTCGGACCCCTTGAGCTGGCCAAATGACTTTGTTTATTCTATATGTTGTAAGCATTTAGTAATCAGCTTTTTGGCACAACACAAATTATTTGAGCTGAGGCTAATAACTTTTGACATGCGCTTGTAAGTGCCACTAAGCAGTTGAAGCCCGGGGCGTTGAGCGGCGGAGGGAGTGCAATGCGTTAAGGCGTGTCATGTAGATTGGTAAGCCAGCTTCACTTTTGCTCATTAGGTGCCAGCAATGCCACAAAAATTCGCTCATGCCTGTCAATTTTTTGCGCAAACTTGGCACTCAACAGCGGCGGCCAGCTGCTAATTGATGACATTGCTCTTGTTGCGGTCATTGATGTTGTTGCCTCGTTCGTTGTTGTTGGTGTTGTTGTTGGTGTTGTTGTTGTTGTTGTTTCGTTGTTGCCTGCAAGCGTTTAATGAGCAAACAGAACGCACGCAAAATTACAAAGAAGCAATACCGTCTGTCTGCCTGTCTGGTCAGCCCGTATTTACACAAGGCTTCAAGCCGCATGCAAACACCAATTAGAGTGACCACAATGCAAACAAAGGTATCAATTAAGGGCCAGTCAGTCAGTGCTCCTCCCTCCTTAAGCTCTTTCCCCTTAATCTTATATAGCCTGGGTGAGTCTCTTTAAATGGCTTTAAGTATACGCAGCTCGAGGCCAAATGGAATGCAAGTCAATTTGCGCTTGAAGTCACATTCATAACACACACACTCACACTCACACACACATAGATATATTCTGACTATTTTCCTGGGAGCAGAAGTCATAACAATCAGTGGCACTGCATCCTGTTTCCGTTGACAGCGCGTAATCAGCTAAAAGAAATCAAGTTGAAGTGATGCGTTCATTCATTGAAAATGCTGAAAATGTCTATGTCTATGTGTATGTGTCAGGGGCAGAGCAGCACTTAAGGGTTAATTTCATAAATTGTAGATCAAAGCATTTGCCCAGCAGCTAAAATTGCTTGACGGGGGCCCGAGAGCTGGGCTCTGATGCCGGCATTTGCCCTGCAGTTGACAATTTTTGAAAGTCAGTGATTTGTAAATAATCCTTTTATAAGCACAATAGCTGCTCGTTAACGGCAAATGAGTTTTGACATGCCCAGTGCCCAGACACCCGCACCTCACCGCACCGCCCCATCACAAACCACCACCCACTCCACCCACTCTAGCTGTTTATCCATCTGACAATCTGAGAACGAGACTTTGAATAATGCGTGGCCATTAGCATAGCTATCGTCAAAGTCGTTGTAGTTGTAGTTGTAGTTGTTATAGTCGGCAATTTAAGGCAACACACTTTGTGTGTTTGCCACACACAACCCCCCCTTCCCCCCACTGCCACGGACGACACGGTTTATGTTTGTAGTTGTAGCCGTTAGTTTTTCGGTGTTAATATGCGGCATACATGCAAAGTTTTTCAGCTGTTGCGCGTCGAGTCGCGTCGCGTTGCGTCGAGTCGAGTCGCGTCGCGTCCTCACGTCTCCTGGTCTCTTGCCTAATGCCTCACTAAGGAAAAAGGTATTTTGTACAACATATGCGACTATGTTAAGTTGTTAAAAAGCACAAACTTGTGCACTGGCGAAATTCATTAGCACGCCCCTATACAATATGTGATGGGGATGGGCATTCGGGGTTTGGGTTTGGGGTTGGGAAGGGGTGAACGGAAACTGTACAGGTCCTGACTGCTGTTGCTGTTGTTGTTGCCTTTCCTGTTGCTGCCTG